AGGGCTATTCATTAAGGCAACCACCAGGTTTCCCTCCAAGGCTAATGGACTCTGCACTAGTGTGTATATATGTGTTGCTTTAACTTTTTAGAAATGTGCTTTAAAACCATGTAAATCATGAGAAGTGTTTAAAGGTGTCATATACAAAGCATGTAAGACTTATTTAATTCTTAGCCTGGGTTTCCTAGAAAACAGGTTGAGCTGATGTCTAAGATATTCGCAAGTCCAATCCGTGGGAAGCCAGAATAATGGAAAAGGGTGACGAGGCAGTAAAAGAGAGCAAATATATGGAAGTATATTATTGTACTATCGAATGCTAGCCTTCCAACCACAAAGATCTGAATATGGCATTTTCCCAGGGATTCCAGCCAGCCACCTGGTAGGTTGATCACATTCCATCTTGGAGAGGGTAGGTATTCTGAATTTGGGTTTGCTTTTTCTGCCTACAATTTGTCTATTAACTCCATTAATTGAGGGTTCAAAGATTATCTCTTCTATAACAGTGCCTTGCAAAGGGAGCCATTTTATGACAGAAGTGGTGAGACAGTGGGTGAATGATCACAGGAGCTGTTTACCATACCCTGCTAGACTCAGCTGTCCTGATAGAATAGTGAAATGGCCTATTGAAGACTCAGGTAAGGCATGAGCTTCGATTTAGGCTCTAGGCGTCAGATATCTTACAGGCTGAAGTGCTGATCTTCAGGATAACGTAAATGAGCCTCACTAGCAGTGCTGTGTCCATTATTCAGACTAGACACTAAGGAGAGAGTAGGATAAGCTTCCTTTTCATCACTCCTAAGAAGCTTGTAGAATCTACTTTTTGCTTCTACAATTTCAGTTTCTGATGGAGACCCCAGTTCCTAGGATGGGAGAACATTGACTGTGGCTTCTAAGTTTTTTTGTCTTATAAGTTTGGTCTCATCATGCCAGTGAACTTCCAGGCAACAAATGCATAGCTGTTTACCATGAGCTTTTTGGATTGCTGCTGCACCCCAGAGACAGGTTTTTGTCTGAAAGTCAGGATCTTTTTTAAAAATAATTTATTTTTAAAATGTATTATATTTGCATTATTGTGTACTCACTGTAAAATTCTCACCAATAGTTCACTCATGAACCATCATTAGAGTTCCTTGTGCTCTGCCTCTCTCCTATGGAAATCAGAATCATTGCTGGGATAGCTCTGTTTTTTCCTTGTTTTGAATGCAAATGGTCAATTTTGGCAAACAAAACCAACCAGATTAACTTAATACTGAGAATGTGGAAATAGTAAGTGTAGGTAGGACAAGGCAGAAGGCGATGGGCTGCTATGTTAGCTTAAACGAGCTGTACCCTCAACTGTCTAGCTAGGTTTGCTGACCACTCAAGAGTCTTTCGAGGAAGCGACAGTATTTGCTACTTTGACAGCTTGGTCTTGTATGTCTCCTGTCCCAGAAGCAGAAAGGGTAGCTAGACTCAGATATAAGACAGTGCAACTGGCTTTGAGTGAAGCAAGGACTGAGCTGAGCTGATTAGTTTATGTACCACCCAAAGATGTGCATGGTACTGTTTCCTGGGTAGAGTATCCCCGGCATTAGCTTGTGTCTTAAGTATCTGTGAAGACAGTTCTGCCTGCTTCTTTCTATAGACTGAAGGCTTGTGAGAATGGCCAGTCTGGTGTCCTCAGGTCACTGGTGAGTATACTTCCTATTCAGGCCCTGCCACTTACCTCTGATCTTCTGCCCCGAGGACTCAGTGTAGTTCCTAAGGTGGCCATATGACCAAAAAAAAAAAAAAAATGTGAGGGGGGGTTTAGCATTTTCATGGAGGAAACTTTAAAAGCTGGAGACATAAGCTAACATAAATTTTTCATTTTCACTCCGATTATTGAGAAATGCAGCAGCTTTATAATATCAGGAAAGAGACAGCAATTCAATTGTTCAATATAGAGCTGGAGCCAGCTGGGTAATGGAGTGCCATATTTGCTTTCCTTTCCTGCCTCACTCCTTTCTTGTATCATCTTGGCCTCCTTTGGGTTGGATTTACTATAATATCTTAGCACCTAAACTTTTTGCCTGGAGCTGTTCTTAGGAAACCCAGGCCAGGATAATTGGTAGTATCAAGCGCTTACTGTGTTGCTGCACACTATTTTAAGCACTTTAGAATCCATTTTTTTTTTGCCATGGAAAAATACATATAACATAAAAATCTACTTTTATTGTGTTTAATCTTAAGCATAATTTTTACAATAAACCTAAAAGTAAAACATAGATATGTGCAAAATTCATAGGAATAAAACACAATTCTGTAAATTGAAGACCTCGTTTCGATGCCAAAAAAGAGATGTCTCTGCCATTATCTCTTCCCAAAGGAAATAACCATTTTGACTTCTATTGCTGTTTCTCTGCAGTAGAAACTATTGCTGTTTCTCTGCAGTAGAAAGAATTCTTATAGCTGGGTTCTTCCATTCAATATTCTCCTTATATGATTAGCTCAGTGGGGTACATTGCACTGAATGGGCCCTTTTTATTGCATACAGTATCCCATGATGAGGTCATACCATTACTCGTGCATATTGTTGCAAATTGACATTTGATCATCTTGACTTTTGTGCATGTATAGATAATGCTGCTGTGAATACTCTTATACATGGTTTTTGGTACTGGGTCATAAGATTTCAAAATCCTTCGATTTAATGAAGTATCTCCTATCATATTTATCACATGTAACAGATACAAAGTCTCCATTTAAATTTCATTCAAATTTACAATCCTTTCTACAATATATGAGAGTTCTAGTTTATGTCTTCTCACCAACATTAGATATTGTTACCTTTGTTATAATATTATCCATCCCTATCTATAGGTAGTAGCAACTTATAATGATTTTAATTTACATATTTCTAATACAGTGAAGTTGACCATTATTTCGTTATAGATATTAATCATTTGAAAGTTCCCTCTTGTGAAGTTCCTATTCACATTTTATGTCCAGTTTCCTCTTCTTTGAGTTGTCTTTTTGTTACTGACTTGAGGAGTTTCTTATCTAATCTGAAAATGAGCTCTTGTCATATGGATGCATTCTGGATATTTTCTCACTGTGTAACTTGGCTTCTTTCTTTCTTTTTTATTTTTTTTAAAGATTTGTTTATACATACAAGAACTCATGTACAGGCCAGAGGTCTGGTGGTGAATGGGAGTGAGAGGATTCACCAGAGACAGAGTGGGGGAGCAGGACAGGCAGATGTACTGAAATAAACTCCTGAGGGGTGCATTAGGTAAGACAAGTCTGCTGCACCATGTGGGTCACCTCCCTGGCCAGGGTGGGACTTGGCTGTGGGCAATGTCTTGAACAGCTTTCCAGTGATTTAACTCATTGAGCTACCAGAGAGGGCACCAATTTTTTTAAAAAGATTTTTATTTATGCAAATAGAACTGGGGTACAGGCCAGAGATGCAGGGGCGACCAGAGGATTCACCAGAAACAGAGTGGGGAGTAGAACAGGCCTGCTGAGGGGAGCAGCGGGTGGGTCAGGAGAGGTCTGCCAGGTAGGTCACCTCCAGGGCCAGGATGGAACTCATGCCGATTTTTTTTTTTTTCAATTGAAAAGTTCTCTTTAATCCTTGTTCCCATGTGGGTCTCCTGAAAGTAATTTAATATGTATCAGTTTCATGGGTCTGAAAAAAATCTTATTTTTCTTTCATTTCTCACGGATATTCCCACTGTGTATAAATTCTGTATGTTTCTTCAGCAAATTAAAATAATTTTCTTATAAAATTTATACCTGGGCCCTCCCTGGTGGCGCAGCGGGTTAAAGCACTGCAACTGAGAAGCTAAAGCCACTTCCGCATGAGTTCAATTCCCGCCTGCCCCGGAGGTGACCACATGGCGAGGCAGACCTCTCCTGACCCGCCCGCTGCTCCCCTCAGCAGTGTACTTCGTCAATCTGCCTGTTCTGCTCCCCACTCTGTCTCTGGTGAAGCCTTTCACCACCCCTGAGCCTCTGGCCTGTACCCCAATTCTGTATGTACAAATAAATAAATCTTTAAAAAAAATAAAAATAAATAAAATTTATACCTGATGTCATTTTAAAATGGAATTTGGAGTCATTACAGAGAAATTACTGGTCTACAATCTCATAGATTAAACACCTCTGGGCAGGGTCAAAATAATTGCCTTAAGAAAATACCAAATAGACAATAGTTTCAGAGCTGATTATGGAGTTTTAGCTAAGTCAATTCCCTTTCCATCCTCTCTAGAGAATTATAACTACTTATGTATTAAGCAAGAATAGTTTAAACCTATTAATAATTATCTCTTGTAGCATCTTCCTCTTTTCCTCTTCTAAAAAGAATGTTATCATCATTAAAAATTTATGCCTTTTTGGGGCCTGTGATTAGGTTTTCTACTTGGATGTGTGGATCTGTAATCATTTACTTCATACAAATAAAGATGCCTCTTGAATTTTCCTGTTGATGAAATTGATAATCATAATCACATCAACTAGCCTACTACTCTGCCCATAGCAATTTTTCTCTAATTTTTTGTGACTTTTTTCTTAGATAACACATGACATTTGCTTAAGAGAATCTAGTTACATGCAACTCTTTCACCATTTTGTTGATTTTTTTATATTTCAAAATGTACTATTTTGTTATAAATTCGTTTAAAGTTGTGCCATTGTAATTGACATATTGTTCAGGATTTCAGTTGTAAAAAAAGATACCCAGAGTCTCGTAAACTGGATTTAATAAGCTCTTTGGCTGTAAATCACCAAGATGTTGATTGATCTGAACACAGTTAACACCCAGCATAAAGCCTTTTGTTACTTACTTTTTTACTCAACAGTATTATCACTTACAACTTTATTAGCGTTAATATTGTGCTTTTTTTAGGCATTCCAGTCTATTGCCTCCTGGCGGGAACTTTAGTGCTCTCGCATAGGCACTCCTAGGCAGCACTGGTCGAGACCCCGCCCGGAACCTTGGTGCAGAGACACCAGTTTCCGGCGGGCTCCTTAGAGGGCTGAACAGCTTTGGGCCCACGGACCATGAGAGGACCAGAGCCGGGTCCGGAACCTAGGATGGAGGGGGACGTACTGGACACTCTGGAAGCGTTGGGGTGAGTATTCCTGGGACGCCTTTTCTCCGGTAAGCCTTTCCTTTCCTCTGCTACAGCATTTTTCTCTCTGTGGGCCTCTGGTGGTCCAGGGCAGTTTGGAGCAGGCCTTCTTCCCGGCCTCTTCCCCCGGCGCCAACGGAGTTAAGAGAGGCGGGAGAGAAATTCGTTGGGGTGGAGGGGTGGGACAGCCCTGGTGGAGCGGCAAGGTTGAAAAACTGGGGCATGTGCCTCGCTCCTAAATTTCATGCCTTGAAATGCCGGGTCCATAACTCGCCCTAGCAGTGTGGTGCCTCCGGGCTGCAGTGTGCAGGGGAGAAGCACTGCCCTGCGCCTTGGGCGAAATTTTTGTTGACGTAGTCGCGTCCAGGGGGAGGGGCTGGAACCTGTGCTGGTTCCAGTGTCTACAGCCTGTTGCTGAATGAGATCGCGGGAATGGATCTCTCCTACCTCCTGGCCTGGAACAGTGTTGTAATTCACTGAGTTCATTCTTTCAGCTACTTATCTGCGTTCCTTAATATCTGAGCCAGGTGTTAATTTGTAATTCATTGATGCATGTGTCTGTGCTAGCAGAGGGGGAAAAAGTTTTCAGATTACTAGCAGTTTATATAGCTGTGGAGTGCGCTGGTATTTACAAATTCAGAATGGTAACTGCTGTAATTCCTGGTATAATACTTCCAGGCATGGGGACCAATGCATGCAAGATATGGGGAGCTTGAGGGAGGACTTGTTTCCCTCACAATCCTGTATCTATCCTAAATAATCTTGTTCTCTTGTAATTTTTATCTGTTGTCCCTGGACTACTACCCCTCCCCCTCCTTCCAGCTCCTGGAAACAGGTGCTTTCCCTATCTTGTTACCAGCAACATTCTACAAGGAATGGGCCCTGACACAACAAATAATGGTTGGATGGAGGGGTTGAATGTATGAAGAAAAGCTTAAGGACTGTGTACAGAATACACATGAGATTGATTACTGCATATCTGGTCCTGGACTTCCCTCTATAAGTGAAAAAGCTAGCTAATTAGTGATTGGAGCCATCTGCACAGTTATTTACCTTGCCTCTGCTGGAGTTCTTGAAGAGGATTGGCTAGGAATCACACTTTGCGGTTTTTATTTCCTCCTAAAGCTGTTCCTTTATCAACTGTTTTTGACTCTGATAATAAATGTTTTCAGTGCTACAGTAACAGACCCCTGCACTTACTAGTAGACCCTGAATAAAATCTTCATTACATGAAAGAACAGAGCCATTGCTTATTATATAGGAGGCATTTTGACTTCTGTGAAGTAAATGTTTTTTTTTTTTTTTAATTTGGTTAAGGAAGTATCCAAAACAAGAAGTTAAAGTAGTATAAGTATTTAGGTCACAAGTAACTTGCGCTTTAAAGCACCATAGAAAAAGAATGGTAGGATTGTGTGAATAGTTTGTATAAAGGGAAGAGTCAGTGCTTTTTTCTTCATTCATAGAATGTGTTTATATTACAGGTGTTCTGGTAAATGAGGCAAAAATTTATTTTAGGTTACTCAGTGTGGAAAACAAAATACTTTAGAATTGATTTCCCCCTGCCCCCCAACTACAGGATTTTGAAGTTTGAATTTTCCTATGACAGTGAAATGTGAGTTGTTGTATTTGAATAGTGTATTTTGATACTATGAGACTGTGAATAATGTATTTTCTATTATGATTAAAACATTTAGAGTATCAGTGGAGGTTAGATAAAATAGGAAACTAAAGGGAGGAAATTAAATGAAAATAAGTTGAAAGAACAGTTTGTTGATATGGTACCTTTGAGGAAACAGGGTAAGAATAACTGTGAAGCAGATGACTTTAGAAGTCTCTTTCAGTGGTCTACAAGGGTATACTATAAGTGCACATATTTTTAGACTAGCCTAAAGGTGTTGACAGCCACCTTTATGGAGGGAAGTTTATTTTAAACATTTGAGTACAACTCCATGTTGACCGTCATGATGAGCAAAATAGAATTGTCCCAGTGCTTATGGAGATTAGCCTAGTAGAGGCACAGATATGATCGTGTTAATATTTATGAGCTATCATATGTGCTTTCAAGGAAAAAGAACAGGTGACATAACATGACAGGAAGGACTTACATAGTCTCAGAAATTTGTGATAGATTCCTGAGGAAGAGACATTTGAAGGGTGAGTAGGAGTTAACTAGGTGAAGTTGGGGAACAGAGGATAGAAGTATCCTTGCAGTGAAAACACAGTGTGAAAGAACTCATAAAGGAAAGGCACGTGTTGTACAAGAACTGAAAGGAGGCTAATGTAGCTGGAAGGTAGGGAGCGAGGGCCAAAGTTGTGGAAGATCAGGTTAGAGTTAAGTGAGGACCTGTGCATGGAGCACTTCTTAGGCTGTGTTGTGGGTACCCTGATGTGTCGTGTGATCACTGTGGGATGTGATTAAAGGAAGCTAAGTAAAAAAAGAGTGTTTAGATGTCTAGTTTGAAAAGTTTCCTCTGTCAACAAGGTGGAGAGTACATTGGCAAATTTAGTAGTCTGGACAAGAGGGGTGGTTGCTTATTGGTAGTAGATATAAAGAGAAGAGCATTATAGGATTTAGCAACTGATTGGATTACTGTATCTGAAGGAAATGATCCTGTCAAGGATTCATTTGTTTGTAGGTATCAGCACCAAGGTTAAATGATATATCTTGGGATCTAAATTGGATAAGGGGAGACAGTGAAGAGAGGAAGGAGCTAGTAAAAATACTGAAATGTAGAAGGACCAAGGGAGTTAGTAGAGATAAGATCAAGGAATAGTTGGTGAGTAGTCAAAATAGTGAGTTTGAAACAGTAGATAGTAGGGCTCTCCTTGGTGGTGAAACTGGTTAAAGCACAGCACTATGAAGCTTCCTCAGCCACTGCAGCATGAGTTCCATCCCCAGCTAGCGATGCTGACCCACATGGCATGGCAGACCTCTCTTGACCTGCCTGCTGCTCCCCTCAGCAGTGTATTTCAGTACATCTGTCTGTTCTGCTCCCCACTCTGGTGAATCTTCTCACCCCCTGCATCTCTGGCCTGTACCCCAGTTCTATGTGCATAAATATATCTTAAAAGAATAGATGGTAGATTGTGGTCAGAGAGTTAAGTATTCATGATCACAGAAGTGAAGTAGTTGCAGTGATGGCTAAGTTAAAGGGCTGGTTAGTAATAGAGGCTAGAAAAGAGGAAGTTAGGGAATTGAGGTATCAAAGTATTGCATAGCATATACATGAAGACTTTAGAGAAAAGCAATGATAGTGGCAAAAATAGGGATGGAAAAAAACTGAGCAGATTTGCTGTAGCAAATCCAACTGTCCTGAGCCTAAGTGATTATAAGACAATGGGGCAGTTACGATGTGAGTGCAGTACTGGAAAGCAAAGAAGACAAAAATAATCTGCCATCTGACCTTGAATTTGAGAGTGGCTAACGGTATAAGCTGATGTTGGTAATCTTTCTGAGAAAAGATTGACAATTTAGGAAAGCCATGTATGGATGGTGGTACAGAAGAATTTGAGAAGCAGAAGTAGAAAGCTGAATCAGAGGAAAACTGATAGGGTGCCTGACCTGCTACTTTAGGAAAGCATCTTAAGCTTATTAAGCCTTAATTTCTTAACTGCAAAAATGGGGATATGAAAATAACTTACTGTGCATGAGATATGATCAGAATTCAGAGAAAAGAAATGCAAATTGCCTTTGAACATATTTAGAGAAATGTAAACTATATTGATGAGGTACGAAATGGTCAAAAAAATTCCAATGTTTGATGACTTTGAATTACAGGAAATGAGTACTCTTGAACCTTGATATGATCCCTGTAAAGGTAAGTGTAATAGTGTGTAGCAAAATAAGAAATCCCCTTATCCCAGCAGTCTTACCTCTGGAATCTATCCCTGATAATACACTGACAAAAATTTGCTAATTATTTAGAATAATAAAACAATGCAGACATTCCAAATGTCTTTCAGTAGGGACATAGTGAATACTGCGGGGTACTATACAACTATTGAGATGATCAAGTTGAACTCAAGCGTGAATAACTGTGTGTGTGTATGCTTAAAGCAAGGACTAGAATAGTATGCAGTAAGCTACTTAACAAAGATAAATATGTTTATATTTAAAACCGTTATGGAATGATACCCCTGAACTAATAAAAATGGTTACCTGTTGAGAAGGAGGGAATGCAAGTAAACAATATTAGATTGTAAGATGGACTTGTGTGAGTGTACCTTATTTTGTATATATATTTTCAAAGTATGTAGTAAATGTGTTCCATAATTGCAAAAAATAAGAAGTTAAAGCAAAAAGCAACAAATCTCCAAAAGCAAAAGGAAACATGCCTTGTCAGTATATTGAATGGGTGGTTTAATTACTTGGAAAGAAAATGCTTTCCTCTATAGTCTTCACTAGGGAAGGGAAATTATTCTAAAGATAGTTTTTTTTTTCCTGAAAATTTTATTAGTATTGAAGCTGCTTTTTCTACTGTGAAACTAACTTATAGCTATTTTTATATATACGAGTGTTAACATAACTCATTCTAAATGAAATAGGTAAAAATGTAAAACAAAAAGTAAAAGTCCTACAATTCTAAATTTGAATCGAAAGTGGAAATATGAACCCCTGATGCAATTTATTTTATAGACATAGAAATAACATGACTAAACTTTAATGCCAGAATGTGTACTCAATAAAAAAGAATCAGAATTCCTTGGAAAATGGCAGATGACAGGTATTGGATTAGGAGCATCTTGTCATATAAAGCAAGAAAAATAGTCAAAGACTACTAGGGACATGTCCAAGAACTCATTGGCCAATACATATGGGCTCCCACTAATGAGATGGGACAGTTTGAGTATCAAAAGAAAAATACTGGTGGTAAATTAAAACCTGTCACATATGCTAAAATCTGTAAGATTAAAAACCTCAGTTGCCAAAAGGACAACAAAGTGGAAAACGAGTATCTTACTGAGATAATAAAATGATTAAAAAATTTAAGATTCTATTCAAATACACATTGTAGTGGTGTTTAAAAGTACAAAACTAAAAGTAAATGATTTAAGTTAAAATGATCTTATAGCTACTTTTCAACTTGATTTTTAATTTACATTTTGCATCCAAAAAACTTGTATGCTTTCGTCACTAGTTCTTTTTTCTTGTGACTAGTCTAAGATTTTTAGACTCCATTCTGTCTTTCTACTACTTGTAATAGTTATTGGCTAATTTTTTAAAGATTTATTTATGCATACAGAACTGGGGTACAGGCCAGAGGTCCAGGGGCAGTGAGAGGATTCACCAGAGACAGAGTGGGGATCAGAACAGGCAGATCGACGAAGTACACTGCTGAGGGGAGCAGTGGGCGGGTCAGGAGAGGTCTGCCACACCATGTAGGTCACCTCTGTGGCCAGCTTGCAGTATGTGCTTTAGCCCGTTGTGCTACTAGGAGGGCCATTATTGTCTAATTTTTATTAAAGATGTTAAAATACAGAAAAAAACAAATAAACCACTTCTAAAGCAGAACCGATAGTAAATGTAAGCTTTGCTAGTCATACTGTCAACAACTATTCTGCTCTGCCATTGATGTTGTGAAAACTGCAAGAGACAGTCTACACTGTTCCCATAAAATTTTATTAACAGGCTGCAGGCCCTGATACAGTATTGTCGTTTTTTTTTGTTTTTTTTTTTTAATGTTTAGGTCTTCCTTTCTAGGTATAAGGGACCACTGTTAGAAGAGCAAGCCCTTACTAAGGCAGCAGAAGGTGGACTGTCTTCGCCAGAATTTTCAGAACTCTGCGTGTGGTTAGGTTCTCAAATAAAATCGTTGTGCAACTTGGAAGAAAGTATCACTTCAGCTGGTATTGCCATTGTACTTTATTTACTTTTCTGTGCAATAGTAAAATTAAATGATAGCTTTCAATTGTTTTTTTCTAAGACATACTGTGCAAAGATAAATCTATATTAAACCTTTGGATAAAATTTTGTTTAATATAAATTGGCTAATAAAATTGTTTAAAATCATAAACAGTTACTATTTCCACTGTTTTAATTTTGTCGCCTAGAAAAAGCGAAGGCTGAAGTTGTATATTTAAGCTTATTTTTTTTTTTAAAGTACTTCATATGCCTAATGTAAATAGTACCAAGGCTGTAATTCAGGACATGGTTTCACATGGGAATACTTCTATAAGAAATTCCTGTATTACCTCATAAAATTTAATTTCTTACTATCTTGGTAACTAGTGTGAATGCGGTAGAATTTCAGATGATAATTAAATTAAAAATAAAATTTTTAGCCATTTGTTATGGAACAGAATAGCCTTCTTTGCAACTATCTTTTCTTTAAATTCATTTTTTCCTTGCTAAATCTAAAGTTTACTTAAAGACAAAGAAAAATAAGCTGAATCTAAACTGTGTGGCACAATTCCTACTTAATTTCATTATGAAATAAAGCAGCGAGGCTTAATTACATGATTGTGTTTACTATCTGAATTCATAGAAATAACAATTGAAATGGATCATTTGATCTGAAACCAATTATAGTTCTAATAGTGCTTTTAATACTTCAGTAGGTAACTTAAAATCCAGTTTACCTGCTTTTAGGGAATGAAAAATACTCTATCAGGGATTTAACATTAAAAATTATCTCATGATAATTTTTTAATTTGTTACTTTTTGTAGAAAATTGTTTGATTACTTTTACCTAGTTTATAGGGTCATACATCTCAGGATCTAATATGAAAGTGAAAATTTGGTATTGAATCTAAAATTGAAATCAACTAGTGGTAGGTTTTATGTCACATTATTTGATAAATACTCAGTAAATGTTCTATGATTTCTCTTAAAGGGAAAGATGATCTGGAGAGCTTCCAACTTGAAATAAGTGGTTTCTTAAAAGAAATGGCATGTCCATATTCTGTACTCATATCAGGAGATATTAAAGACCGTTTAAAAAAGAAGGATGACTGTTTGAAACTTTTATGTAAGTTATCTTTGAACATTGAACTTGTGTTTGATCTAGTTTTTACTACTGTATTTTATGATTTATAATTTTGTTAATGAAGTATAAGAAATATTGTATATTAAAGATTATATTTGATTGTAGTATAGATCCTAATATACTCTTAAGATTTCTGACACTTACATGCTAATATAGAGTGACCTATATTTGTGGTTTTTATAAATATTTTAGTGATTTTTTTTCACCTAATTTATCTCATAATTTGTGACCATATGGCTAAAGGTGTTTTCCCAAGTGCTAAAAAAATCTTAGAGCACTCTGAAGCTAAATTAAGCAGATTATTAGATCTTATTTTTAGTGTTGGCATGGAATGGTAGTTGGTTCAAAAATATCTGTTGATCAGCTAATATTGTACCAGAAACTACTCTAAGCATTAGGGTTATCAATTTTAAAAAAGATAGTGTTTTTTGAATTTTTTGAGTCTGGTGTGTGTGTTCTGGTTTTTGAGTTCACTTGAAATATAGATTACCTTTTACTGAAATACTTAAATGCCACAAATAATACATCTTTTTTTTTTAATTAGGTACCTTTAAAATTCTTTAACTCAGTAAATTTAGTTTTGCTATTTTAAAAGTTCTACAAGCAACTACTTGAAAATTTTTTTTCTAATATCTGTTATTGAAGATTGCTAGTACAGGCTAAATCATTTGATATATCCTCAGTGGGGGAAAATCTAAGGAATCCCTGGTAGGAAAACTTTAATTTTCACTTTACTTTCTACCATCATCATATATCAGCATTTTAACTAATAGACTGAACTCTGTTGGTAATATTAAGTAGAACACAGTAGACTGCAGCTGAGGTTCTGTGAAAATGCTAGTTATTGAAGAATAGGTTTATTTGTTTTCCCCAGTAAAGTTTTGATAACAGAGGGACCTTAGACTACTTCTCACAAGGAAAGGTTGATATATATTGGTTGTGACTTTTGTAGACTCTTTAGACTGTAGATGTATGGAAAAAATATCTTTGTTAGTAACTCTTAATCTTTCCTGCCCACTGGAATCATTCTGGGTTTAAATCTAACCACAAGATTCCCTGCTCACAGAACTCAGAATTGTTAAGAGTTGGGCCCTGCCACTTGGCAGTTTCTCAGTTACTCTGCTCAGCCAAAATTGAAATTACTGTTTTAAATTGTTTGGTGTGTGTGTTTGTAACTTGAAACAAAAACAAAGCCCCAATATTTTAACTGATTAGTAAAAGTTAATTTGGTATGTGTGTTATGCGGCTGCACTTAAAGGGAGAGAGAGCTGTATATTTCCAAAATACTAATAACGATGTAAACCAGTGGTATTTCAATAAAAATTTTATTTAAAAAACAAAAGAAGGAATATCAAAAAGGTTGTGGAAAATGCAGTGCAATTTAGAGATTCATGCCTTTGCATCATTATGGCCCTTAACAATATTTTTCCCTTTTCTTACAGTATTTTTAAGTACAGAGCTTCAAGCTTTACAGATACTACAGAATAAGAAATGTAATAATTCTCAATCAGATAAAAATAGTGAAATTCATCAGGAACTTCAAGCTATCTGTGAAGCCCTGGCTATACCCAAGTCTACAACTTCTGACATTCCACTTACACTAAATCAGGTGGAAACAAAGGTATTTTATTTGGTCCTTTTCCCCCAAAATTCAGCAAAATACTAATGTATAAATACTTAAACATGAAAATATTTCCTTTAAGTATCACAGACATTTCAAGAGTTTATTTCATGTAAACTAAATTTTGTATTTGGACTTAATATTGCCGTGACCTTATTTGCCTACAGCCAAAATTCAGGAATTGTATCATAAAAGTGACCTTAAGTGGCTCAAAGGTTTGCTATGAAGGACCCTTAACATTTGCAATGACTTCTCTTTCTTAAGGTATCAGTAGTAATACAATTAATGAAAGAGGAAGAGTTAGCTTATAAACTTAAGGGCAACTATATTTTGAGTGGATATTAATTAATTTCAATGTGGTTGCCTTTTGGCAATGAACAAGCACAATTTCTGTCAGGATGGTATTTAAAAGCCTCTTTGCTCTACTTGGAAATAGGCTGTGAGTGTTACATGGTGAACAGTTGAAAGTACTCTGGTGGAGTAGTTAAGAACAGCCACAACTAGGTAACCTCAACTGTTTTTTTTTTTTTTTAAATAAATCATGTTGAGCCTTATATTAGGATGCTACTTTTCGGAGACTGAATTCTTGTCTAGTAGTTCATAGTTTTGTGGAAGTCCTTTAGGGGAATAATACAGGATTCATTTTAAAGGATAAGAAATTTCTCATCTCATCCCAAAGAACAGCACTGCAACTCCACTTTTTAACATTGCTGCTTTCAAACAAATCTTAGAATAGAGATGCCATGAATTAATAATTTATGAACTGAAAGAAAGTAAAAATAAAAATGATCTTAATGAATGTAAGAGAATTTTAGTATATTGAGAACTTTCTTTGAAAGAACTGGAGACTGAAGAATAAATTTTGTGAATCCGTCAGAGGACTTTTTTCCCCCCCAAGAATGCTCTGAATTTGACTGAAATGTCTTACTTTTCCAAAGAGACATATTTCTGCACTATTCCTAATGTTCTGTTATTTACACAAATTGATTCCAAAGAGACTTCCCTTTTAAGATTTTCAGTTAGCATTAATTTAGTAGTATTAAGCCACTGGCAGGCTAATAGGTAGTTTTTATTATTGTCACAGTGGCTAAATATTTACCTAAATAAAAGGATTTCCTTCTCCATTTAGTTGTCAAAAGCAAAAATTTCTGTCTTCCACATGTGATATGTCCAGAAGAAAATTATTATTTTCTAACTTGAAACTGTTTAAATATGAAATCTAAAGGAGTTCCAACATTAAACAAATATCACCATTCTAAAAGCTTTGTGATCTCATTTAATTTTGTTACCTATGATGAGGAAGTTATTAGCAACAGGCTTATGAGGAAACTGAGATGTACTTGTTGAAGATCTGATAAATTAGATATATCTGAGTAGTGGTAGATGTGAAGTTAGAAGTAGGCAGTCAACTTTCAGAGTTTATGCTTTTAACTCTTCATCATAGGTAATTCTCGAATGTACTATAATTGTTATCTAATGTTGCTATCCTGGGAATGGAGGTGAATGTGATAATATGTAAGAAATTACAGGTATGCATTTGTGTGAGGGATAACAGCTAAAACTTTGTAAATTATTAAAAAAATAAAACTGGCGATATTTATAGAAGTAATTTAAGAAAGTTAATTTTATATAACATGTAAAAATTGGATCAATAATTGATCATTGCAAGGGTAGTCTTGCTGCACAGCTCATTAAGCTTAAACTTTGGGACACTCATTTCCACAAGTTCTTGATAAGTTAAATTGTCTCAAGAAAATTTTTTTAAAAACTATGTGTAATTGAAGGAATATCAGTGACTATTGCCAAAAAATCTTATCTTCATCACCTTGAGCCCACATATAGTCACTCTCCATTACTACCAGCCTTCGATGTTCAATTTTTGTTGAATTCTTAAGGAATGCCCCAGCATTAAGAAAGTCATACCCCTTAAAATCTGAATTGTTCCTGATTGTTTCCCCTAATTACCTTATAAGTAAGCAAGTAAAATTTTCATTCAGTTTGAAATAATTTCTTTAGATAATAAAAATTCTCTACATGGGTGATCCCAACTTAGGCTGTCATTTCTCAGCCATTTTCTTCAGGGTAAATTACTGTTACTGGAATGGCACCTGACATTGATAAGGAAATGAATGACTAATACCTTGTTTACAAAAATTAAGAAATGTTTAAATTCAAGACAGCAACTTTGGAATGTAATAGTATGTTGTGGTGACTTATGGGAAGGGCTTGCTTTCTGAGTTGACTTGCTGAACAATGAATCTGGAATACATAATATTTGAGAAATCAGTGTGCTCATCCAAGTTTTAGAATTCCTTTTGAGAATTTACCAGGAAACTTTGAAGAGACTTCTAAATTATTTTGCATGAAACATATTCTCATAGTAAAACCTTTTAGTAGCTATTTCTTTAGTTTTCTGTGTATATTATTATTTTCTCCAGAAAAGTTACACTGTACCTTGAGTTAATAAAGCAAATGCTTCTTTGAAAAAGATTGTCTACATCATAGTGACATTCTTCCAATGTTGGAAGATATATTTTAATGATTTCTCTAACTTTTTGTTTATTCAGAGCATTTTAAACAAGAGTAAGATGGTTTTAAACTAGAAATTTACATTTTCTCATTTTTGTGTATTTGCTTTTAGGTGAAGGATATTCTCTCAAAAGTGCAGAAAAGTCATGTGGGGAAACCATTGCTGAAAATTGATTTAAATCTGGAACAGGCGGTAAATCACCTTTTTAATTATTTTCTTGTAATTCAATATTGAATGCAGCTTAACTTAGTAAATAGACATGTAGATTTTATAGTGTGTAGCATGAACTTCTTATTTGGGGGGATTAAAATGAATTGATAATCTATAATAATTCTGAGCATTTCTTAAGTCAGGTTACTAATTTTTAAAATACTGGCCAAAGTATTTAGGGTATTCAGTAGTTAGTATAGTTGTGAGCTAACAAGCATAGTAGTAAAAGCCAACAAGATTGAAAGTTATTATTGCTGGTATTTTCTTTATTGGTCCAGACTGCTTAGCAAGTTGTTTTACTTGAGTTAATTCTGTCAATTGTAGAATTTATTTAAATTGAACTTCAGAGTATCATAAATACTATATCAAAAACTTACACATAATTAAATATAAAGTCTTACTGGAAATTAGAAAATGGCCAACTATGGTATCTTTTTTTGTCAGTAGGAAGTGTTCACAGTTTTCAAACTTATTTTCAGTGCCAGTGAAAGATCTTAAAGTTGAGGATTTTTGTTTCCAAATTTCTTAGAAACAACTGGGAAAAATTAATGATGCCCTTTCCTGTGAATATGAATGCCGCCGGCGGATGTTGATGAAACGATTAGATGTGACAGTGCAATCTTTTGGCTGGTCTGATAGAGCGAAGGTAAAGCTGTTTTCCCAGTTGTGTCCTGTAGATGGTACTGTGTTACAGCATGTCAGTTCTCTACCATTACGTAATTACCCTACACTTGAACTTAATTACTATCTTATGCTCAAGCCCAGGCCACATACTGGTCACATATAATAATGATCCTGATCTTGTATTAGTCCCTGTTTGTAAATATCTTAATTTCTTTCCATATCTTTTACACTTATTTAAAAGTTATAATTGTGATATATACAAGAATATGCATAAAAGAGTGAGCAACTTATCAAGAGAGTAAGGGTATGTATAGCTAGTAAGGGTATGTATAGCTAGTAGTGATGCCTGAACAATTCCTTTAAAGTGTCTTAGGACTGTAATGTGTGTTCCAGTTGAAAGGTATGTGTGTGGGGGGCATTACTAAATATAATTTTTTTTTTTTTTAAGATTTTATTTTTACATGAAGAACTGGGTGTGGAACAGAAATGCAGGGAGTGAGGGAATTCACCAGAGACAAAGTGAGGTGCAGAACAGGAAGAATAACTGAAATACAATGCTGAGAAGAACATGGGGCAAAATAGGAGAGGTCTGTTGCACCATGTGGGTCAGCTCCCTGGCTGGGAATTGAGCTCAGGCAACTGAAGAGCTGTTGTCATGGTAGCGCTAAGACTTAACCTTAGGCCACCATGGAAGCCCTCATAAATATGAATATCTTAAGATAGCTTTCTCTCTCTACTACCATTCTATGTCCGTTATTTTCAGACATGCATGTTACTTATCATATGCTGCTGCTCTTTTTCATACACTTTTTAAAAAAACAGGTGTTCTAGTGAATCCTGCATTTTCTGTATACATTCTTTTCCAGAAGTTTATACCTTCTTAACTGTAGTCTGGGCTGTTGATGTGGCTGTCCGTTCCCCACTCTTTCTTAGATGGCCTCCTCTGTGGTTCTATTTTTTTTTTTTTTTTAAGATTTATTTATTCATGCATGCAGAACTGGTACTGGTTGAGGTGCAGGGATGGTGAGAGGCTTTACCAGTGACAGAGTGGGGAGCAGAACAGGCTGACTAAGTACATTGCTGAGGGGAGCAGCAGGCGGGTCAGCAGAGGTCGGCCGTGCCAAGTGGGTCACCTCCAGGGTGGAGATCAAACTCATGCTGAAGTGGCTTTAGCTTTTTAGCGCTGTGCTTTAATCTGCTGCGCCAGCAGGGAGGGGCCTGGTTGTTTATTCTTATTTTTTGATGTAAACCTACAAACAATTCTAATCAAGAAAAATTTTTTTACATAATCATTGTTTCCTGAAAACATGTTTATCTCTGATAGTTTGGTTAATATAAAAATCTAGGTTAAATATTTTTCTGTAAAAAATATTAGAGGCATTGCATCTTTGTTTCTGGTGCTTAGTGCTGCTGCTGAGAAACCTGATAACCATTCACTTCCTTCTTGAGAGATCTTTTTCTCTGTGAACATTTGGCCTCTTGTGTATTCTTGAAGTTTTGAAATATCCAGTAGGTGCTGGTCTTGATACTTTCTCATTCAGATGCTAAACCTAAGAGGACTTTTCAATCTATAGATTCTTAGCTCCTGTGTATTTCTTCCCTTTTGTTTTCTTTCTGAAATTCTTTTTAGAAGTCAGACATTCTGGATGAATACACATAAGTTGCTTTAGGGGAGGAGTGATAGCACCACACCAAGGGTTTGCAGAGTGGGTTGTTCTACAGTTAGATTGAGTTAACCCCCATTTTCTGTCCACATTTTCTTTTCTGTGACTTTTGATTCTCTTTTTATCTATATCCATTTTTTCCCCATTCTTTGTTGTAGTTTTTGTGCCTTTTTGTGATTCAGTGTATTCAGTCTGACTCATCTACCTAGAAACACTGTCTCATATATATCATACATAGTTTCCTTTTAAACAGCTGGCAGCAAAATACAGAAAATTGAATGATTAGAACAGGGTTGCTAGTGGAAACTTTCAGAGAACATTCTTTTTAGGATAGTATAGAATAGCTAGAAGGCAGAATTGAAGGCTGTCATTCATGCATTTCCTTTCAATAAGCATTTACTTATATATATCAGTCAAGCACTATGGTAATAACTGGTTCTAGATGAGCATCTTGGTACCCTATGTAATTAAGTATAGATTACTTTTAGAAGATTTCTGTAGTTGGAATATCTAATTGGCTTCTCAGATCATCTTTTCTCCTGTGTTTCATTGGGAAATGACTGTTTTGTGCAAGAAACCAGGATCTTTAAGAGCTATGAGTTACCAGAGAAGTAAATGACATGATTACTGACCTTGAAAATTGGAATAGTGTTCAGATGTGTGGGAGGAACCAGTTTTACTGACACCCCCACTCCCTGAAACTTCATTGAGGTTGTGTATATACTCGGTCTCTAGTTTAATTTGATAGAATGAGAAAAAGGAATTTAGGAATGTAAGAAAAATAGGTAAAGGTAGTATATTGAAAGTGTCTTAACATTACTTGGACATTGTTTTCAGTGATGGTCTTAAGCTTATGGAGAATTCCAAGACAGATGAGTTTTGAATGTTCAGAGTGGCATGGACTCAGGGCCTTATTGACACTTTACTAGCCTTAAATTTGGGGACTTTGAGAAAATACAACTTTAGGAAATGTTTATTTTATCATGGTCTTTTTTCATCTTGTTTTGGGCAAAGAAGGTTATATTTTTTTCCCTTAATCTGGAACATGCTCTGTTTTAAGTATTTTATATATATGTGTATATATTTTATGGCTTAATGTTAATTTTGTCCCTATTTCAAGCGATTGATATTGTTGAATTGACTCATCAAATATTGTTATATAGCATTTTAATCTTTGCAGAAGATTTTATAGGTATGTTTTACTGATCAGCATTGAAGTTGTCTTTAATTTTGTTTCTTTTTAATGAAATCCTTTGCAGCTCAATTTTAATGCACACTTAGTGATGCCCTTAAAGGTTATACATGTATGTTAGTATACTATAATTTGGTTTTTCTGATTTTCTTCCCTAGAATTGTGTGCATGACTTTAGTTTGCTTTTTACTAATGTTTGATCATAGTCCCATATTTTTGAAAGCTCTATTTTAGTATTCTCTTTAAGTTTTTATTTTGTGATACAGTTTACCATGTTAAGTGTCTAATCCAGTAGTTTTGGTGTAGTCACTATATTGTGAAACTATTATCTTTTTGTGATCATGACATTTGCATCATCCCTGAAAGAAGTTTTCTGCCCCTTTGGATTTGCCTATTCCGGACAGCTTATATAAATGGAATCTACAATAGATGGCTTTTTGTGTCTGGCTTTTTAGCATACTGCTTTCAGGCTTCATCTGTGTCATTTATAACATTACTTGCTTTGTCACTTGCCACATGTTTGTCACGTGTAACATTACTTGCTTTCAGTGTCACTTTTATGGTCACGTTATATATTTTATCAGAGAGATGCTGAAGTTAGCTTTGATATGTTTTACCTATATAAACTAACATATACATTTAATATTTAAGGTGCTAATCCACCTTATTGCTAACTTGATGGTTAAAAAAGACTTGATAGTTTTAATTTGTATATTTTTTACTATTTCACAAAGTTGAGTCTTTATTCATATTAAAAAAAAAAGTGGCCGTCTCTGTCTTGTTTTTTCACCCTCTGTTTTCTTTCTGATTGAGCCTTTTATATACCGAAGGAGTTAGGTAGTTGCTTTATTTGTTGCAAATGTTTTCTGCAGTTGTCTTTTGACTTTATTTTGCATTGATGTGTAGAAATTTTAACCTTTATAACACAGTAAGCTTTCCAATTTAAAATAAAACCTTACACAGTAACTGTTATATCTGGAATTTCCTGCTGTCTGCTCTACCTTTTTAATTTTAAATAATAAGCAATTCATTCAGCATCATTTGAAATATCCCTTTTCTCACTGTCTTTTTGTCTCTACTTATTGTAGCCATACATTTATGAGGCTTTGAATTTCAACTGCTTATTTTGTGTCATCTATTTTTGTTTAAGCTTGTTTTAATTAGATTGAGTTTAGATAATACAGTGTTTATGAAACATCTCCATTTTGACATGAAGAAGATTTCTTCATTGGTAAGTGGGCAAAAATTGGGATTCTGTGTAATTTTGTGAAACTGTTCAAGCTTTCTGAGCTGGATTTTTTTTTTTTTTTCCTTCTGCAAAAGGGGATAATGGAAACAGCCACTCTAAAGGATGTTTTCAGGACTAAAGATACAATAACTGTTATGTCTTATGACTATTAAATGAACAGAATTATGGCATATTTAAACAAGTAGAGAATGCGTGTAGACTGTTTAGACGATGGTAACATATTGCATATTAGTTATCTAGTAGAACTCCTTTTCTTAAATTTTCAGAAATTCTTACATTGTTTTCTAGATTATTTAACCTTTGATTTCCTTTTCTATTTTATCTTGTCAAAAACCATTCCAATAAGAATTACAGTACACCTGTAAAAAACTGGGGAAAAAGTGGCAGTGTCCTATCCAGAAACTTGGTCTTTCTCTATCCAAGTTTCATGTACATTTATTTGGTCAAGCCATTTTTAGGTACCTTGTTTTATGACAGTATGAATGGAATCCTTTCTATGTTATTTTTATGAGCTGCTACTGTTTCATATCTCATAATATTTGTTTTTTTATTCCACAAATTATCATTTGGTATTTGAGTATTTTATTTTTTTCTATTTTTATATATTGTCTTCTCTTGATATCTTTCTGAAGATTATGATTGCCATTATTCTTTCAGTTAAAATGTTCTTTGGTTTCTTTTTATCTGATTTTTGTCATTTAGATAAAAACAGACGACATAGCAAGAATTTACCAGCCTAAGCGTTATGCTTTATCACCCAAGACTACAGTTACTTTGGCCCATTTACTTGCTGCTCGTGAGGATCTATCCAAGATAATTAGGACAAGTAGCGGCACCACCCGGGAGAAGACAGCGTGTGCCATTAATAAGGTTGGTTTTTCTTTCATTTCAGTGGACAATGAATCACAGGGTGAAATCTTAAAATAGAGTTGTGGAAGGGCCTCCGTTCATCTATGTTACTTACATTTTATGTATGCTATGTCATTGGAATCTCTATTGCTAGATTAAAGTATTATCTGAATTAGTGGACTTAAGAATTGTTATCAATAACTTGAGGAAATTGTTTTCTGTCTGAGGCACTTGATGTCATTGAGAATCTGGGAGTTGTTTCAGGTACTGACCATTCATTATATCCTTGGTAGAAAAGGGCAGACAGAGTCTGTCCTTTCAAGTCCTATAAATACTGGTTCACAGTCTAGGTCTATTATTAGAGAAATTGCTTTGGGCAGGTTACTGAATCTCTTGGAGCTTCCTTCCTGATTCAGTACATAGATCCATTTCTTTGACAATGGTCTTAAAGAAACTCAAAGTGTAGTTTTCTTTACAGTGGCAGTAACAGTTCAGCTAGCATATTACTCTCCATTTAGTTAGCATATTACTCTCCATTTAGCTAACATATTACTCTCCATTTAGTTTGTCATGCAGTCAAACTATTATAAAAGAGCAAAATATTGAATGGAAGAAATTTAGATTTTTAAAGATTTTTTATTTATGCATATACAACTGGGCTACAGGCCAGAACTGCAGGTGTGCTGAATGGATTCACCAGAGACAGAGTGGGGAGCAGAACAGGCAGATCATTGAAGTACACTGCTGAGGGGAGCAGCGGGCGGGTCAGGAGGTCTGCTGTGCCATGTGGGCTACCTCCCTGCTGGGAATCAAACTTGTGTTGAAGCAGCTGCACTTGCAGTTCTACACTCCATCTCATTGTGTCACCAGGAAGGGACCAAGTTTAGATATTTTTAAAACACCACTTCCCACTCAGTATAACGAGAAATGTGTTTTTTAGAGCACCCCTAGCCAGAAAGGTTGGGTTATATTTCAAGTAAGTTTGCTAACTTCTGCTAACTTTGACAGAAGTGTTCTAGCCTTGCTACCATGTTAGATCAACTTCTGTGTCTTAAAGTGTGCTGTCTTTCAAAAATAGTCCTTACTGTTTTGATCAGTTTGCAATCCAGTCTTGTTTCTTTAAGAAGAGATTACCCATCAATTTTCTGAATGTATAATTTATAGTCAGTTATTTGGACAATCTCATGATCAGTTTTCAGATGAGCATCATTCCCATATATATTCATCAAATAGCATGTTTGGTGGAGAGACTTACTAAGAATAACAGCCAAGAAAAGGAAATTTGTTTGGATTTGTTAATTAAGACATTAGTGATTATTTTAAAGAAATGTTGGGCACTTTTCACCCTTGCCCTGCAATGAGGATTTGTATTTTTGCCTTTCACGAAAGACATGTTACTAAAACATGGTTCTTATTAGAGAATCAGTGGAAGGTAGAACCTAACTGACCCATAAGTCATTTTGTTTAAGGCAGTTAGCTGTTGGACCTTTTCCTGGAAGAGATTGGCAGTAAGCAGTGGGCCTCCCCTTGACTGGGTGGGAGATATCCCCTCATCGCTGCCCCCCTTTTTTTTTTAAATTCAAGGGTGTATGAAGTAACTTTTCTGTAGGAGGTCAGGACTTAAAGCAAACTCTTCCCTGGTTCATGCATCTAACTATTGTTAAACATGATTAAGGAAGTTTAGCAGGTCTTTTATTTTCTCATAATATTAGAACGAGTATCATCACTGAAAGTCACTGAGTTTCTCATAAGAAACAGCCAAATAGCATGTTTGGTGGAGAGACTTATTAAGAATAATAATACCATGTTAGATCAACTTCTGTGTCTTAAAGTGTGCTGTCTTTCAAAAATAGTCCTTACTGTTTTGATCAGTTTGCAATCCAGTCTTGTTTCTTTAAGAAGAGATTACCCATCAATTGTCTCTGTCATGGTCCTTGGATTGGTTGCCATTTCATTCATTGCTGACTTTGCTCCTCTGCATTTTATCATTTATTTCATACTTTGTTGAAATAGAATGTGCCCAGAAATAAGATCTTTAATTAAATATTCCATTCTCGAATAAGTAGCAATGGAAAATTTAAGAGTTGTTGAATAAATGGGTAAATTAATTAATTAATGTACGGAAGTTAATGTATGGTATATAGTTTGTCTTAAATATTTTACAAAAAATAACTTGCTAGTGTGGTGCATGCTACATTTGATATCTAAATTTGTTCAGCAAATTTTATAAGAAAGTTAACAAGTCTTTACATTTCAGAAATACTGTCCAGATTTAAAAAAAAATTTAATTCTGTGAGGAATTTACATCATATTTGTCTTTAGTGTTTGTTCATACCACAATGTCTGATACTTCCATGTCCTTAAGTATTTGGCTTCAGTTTCAATATTAGAAGTAGAAACTTCAATATCAATTGAATCCTTTATGTAAATTTCAACTTTTAAAATATTAGAAACTGAAAAAATGTTTCTTTACACAGGTGCTGATGGGAAGGGTACCTGACAGGGGAGGACGCCCGAATGAAATCGAACCACCACCCCCTGAAATGCCCCCTTGGCAAAAGAGACAAGAAGGCGGTGGAAGGGGTGGTTGGGGTGGAGGTGGTGGTAGAGGAGGTGGTGGGGGTGGAAGAGGTGGCTGGGGAGGAGGGGGAGGAGGAAGAGGGGGTGGGGGAGGAGGTTGGGGTGGAGGTGGGGGAGGTGGTAGAGGAGGTTTTCAAGGCAGGGGAGATTATGGTGGCAGGGGGGGCTATGGTGGCAGAGGGGGCTATGGTGGTAGAGGTTATGGCGATCCATATGGAGGAGGTGGTGGTGGCTATAGAAGATATTAAAAACTACAAAAATTAGATAGCAGTGCTTACTTCTTGAGACTTTAGGCATAGTGTTCTAAATAATATACTTGAATGCTACCTTTGAAGTAAACACCATGTTAGATTCTCGTTCTTGAATTGGGTTGCTATGTAAGAACATTGTTTTATACTACCATTTGCTCTCTTTAGACAAAATGATTTTTTTCCATAATCTGTGTATCCTTGAGCATGTTGTCTTTTTAAAAAAAGTAAAAATTATTTTTAAAATTGTAAATATTTATTACCATCAAACTTGGGAAATGGAAAGTATTTTATTGTCACGCTGAATTTAGATTACTACCTGTGTTTTATTCAGGGTTGAGACACATAAATTACCCCATACGTAATGAAAAGGATGTATGTAGACTGTTACTTCATCCGTATTCCTGTGAACTGTGATACATATTAATTTTGCTTTACAAAATTGGGAAAGAGACTGGTAGTTATGTTCAGTAAGTTGTTGTAAGGATATAGTTTTTCTTTTACAGGAGGCAATCCTCTGGTTAGGTTTCTGGTAAAGTTCCTTTAATGGAAGCCCAGTCTGTTTTTCTGTTATGCATATTTGATTAATTTTCTACTTGGATTTGATTTTGAATAACAAAGGAAAGTTAAAGATAAGCTCAGAATTATTTTAAAGGGAAAAGGCTAATTTTATATGATGTGAAACATATTCATATAAGCTTCTCATTTATTTGTGCCATAACTAGGGATTTGTATATAAAAGGCAAACTGAAAATGCCATACAAATATAAAAAAGTAAAAAAGGCAGGTTGAACTGTATTAAACAGCATCAGAGATGTAATTTTCAGTTTCAGTAGGTCAGAGGGAGAGGTAGTCATCCCTTGGTGGTTCTGATTTGCAGGAACAGGAAGAATCAGGAAACACGTTTAGGGAATGTCTACATGTGGTATGGTTTGATGGCTGGAGCAGTCAAAGGCTGGGGGAAAGGAATTCTGAATTGAAATCATGGCACTGACCCCAGGATGCTAGAGGCTGAAATGACCTTTGCTCTCAAGGACTGACTTGTCCTCATCTGTTAAATAAGGAATGTGACACTTGTCCCCCCGTCTCTGGTGGTTATCATAAAGACAGAAATACTATTGTAGATTATTGAGAATTTAGAGGGCTGTGTGAATGCTTATAGAGGGACGGTAAATGCATTTTTTTTTTCTTTTTTTTTTGCTTAGTATAGATGATTAAGAAAAATGCCTCATGATTTTTCAATGCCACTGTAAAATTTACTTCCCAGTGTAGGCTCCTGATGGATACCTGTGCATAACCACTTTCTGTGATCTGGTCAACTCAGCTGAATAGAAAGCCAAGTGCCGGTAGACAAATAGTATTTGGCATTTGGTATTTGGCAGTTTTATTTTATAGTAAAAGGAGGTAAAATCTAAAATGTTCAAATGTTCAAAGTAAACATTTTGTGTACTGCAGTCTTGGCTATGTATTTTCCCAGGTAGCCCTTCAGAGGAAACTGTTTAAGATAGAAAAAACATGTTTTCAGTTATTTGTAAACTTAGATTTTTAAAAATGTGCTTATATTTAATGAAGATACTTAATTTCATTTGTGATACTTGAAGGAAATAGTTTTCCATTATTAAGGAAACACTTTTGTGAGTAACTATGGACTCTGAAAAATAAATACTTTTTAGAAAATATACAAGACCGCAGGTGTAAAATATTTCAAAAGAACTAATAGTTAAAACAATGTTCATTTAAAACTTTGGCCTTTCTGCTGCTTCTTTTGGGAGGACTTCAGTTGCTTATATAAAATTGAAGTTTACAACTAATTTCAACCCTTATCACTAAAGGTCTAAAGCATTCAACAAGAGAAACATTAATTTGTGTAAGATTTCTTTGTTCCTTCATAAGGGTGCTGGTTATTTGCTGCACTGGTTATGTGCAAAGCTTAACCACATAATAGTGCTTGTTGGAATCATGTCGGCATTGGAACCACTGCTATCTATACATTTCTATAAATTGCACTTTATTGGAAAGCTTAGTGTTCTAGATATTTTAGTCTTTTCTGTATGGTATGATTATTATGATAATCTTCATTCAGTAATATTTATTTTGTGGAAGAGTGAGCTGAGCAGTGTCAAGCAGTATCTCGAATAGCAGTCAGGTAGTTTGGGACCTTCATGCGATGTCTTGTAATTCGAATGCAATGTAAGTGTGGAGTAAGTGACTGGCAAATGACTGATTTCTAAAATCTAACACCTTATTTTTGGGCTGGGTCTCAGTTTCATTTTTTCTTGCACTTTGGTTTCTCTCATCTTTTTTACTTTGTCTTGGTTTTAGCCTTTCCTATTTAATAGCACCTACTAACATGACCTTACTAGGATTAAAGTAGTAACTGCTCATCAGGATCTCAGGACTATTGTCATGTCCATGCACAGTCACCAAACTGCTTCACATAAGCTTTCAGCAAAAGAAGGGCTAGGATGCTTTCTTTGAATCTATTCCCTTGTGTTTTGCAGATCAGGGAAACCTTGCCTTACTAAAAAGGAAAACATTGAAAATGAAAAACACATAATGACGTATTTATGTAAAAAGGAGGTAAGATAACTAAAGCTGAAACTAGAGAATGTTTTGAGCAATGTTATTACCTGTCCTTTCTAAGGAGCATAGAGTAGAAATAATTTGGGATGAGAATTGGGAGCAAAGTAGGGGGAGGCAGTTTGATAACTTGACCCTGCAGGGCAGATTCAATGTGACTTCATTATTATGTATGGGAATACTATGAATTGCTAAAATGAGAAATGTGCTTAAATCCAAATGTACCAGAATGCACTCCACATTGGAATTTAATGCCTCTCCCCCAGCCCTTCATTGGTTTGGTTAAACAGATGTTGGCTGAGGATGAAGAAAATAATTGTAGCTGTGTCTCATTTTAAATAATTATGAGCACAAATGAATGTCTTTGGATGAGTTTTTACACTGGGACTCATCTACAATTTGATACACAAGTTCAAAGTTTCTATTACAACTGGAATTAAAAACTAAATCTACAGTGAAATAATCACCTCAGAGTATTCATTGATTTAATATTTAGGGTTCACTGTAATTTAATGGATTAAATTGAATATTTTGAAATGTTCATGTTACAAGAATTAGAAAAACTTTTATTGGCTCACTGGTTGCTTTTCCTTTAGGAAAAGTCAATTTAATACACTAGGGGAGTGATCTCAGCTGTGGATAATAGTAAAAATTCACACAAATCTTCTACATGGTGAACTGGAATAAGCACAAGACATCTGTGTTGTAGGGATCTTAATGTCTTTTATCATAAATACTACACAGAGAAAACTTAACATTGGGTATCAAAAAAAAATCTTTACAATATACATTTTTTTCTTGCAATTCTTTTACATTATACATCTTGAGACAAATTCACAAACAGTAAAAGGCAAGTCAGTTACCAAAGAAAGTAAGAAGTGACACTGCTGGTTACAAGACAAGAGTTGTCCTTGTTTGGTAGATAAATAAATGCCCGAACTTATTTCAAGTCAGTAAAAGACACACAAGCTTGTATTGGAGGCTTGAGAAGCCAAAATATTCCAGATTCTTTCTGTGGACTTCACTGATTATTTGTAGCTCAGTGCAAAACTATTAATTTACACACTAATGTTACTTGACCCTTGTTACAATGTAAAACCTTGTCATGCATTTCAGTGGTAAATTCTGAAATGTTTGAGACCCTCACTGTTGATTTGACTAACATTTTCAATTCCTCTAGATTAATAACACAGGCTAATGTGAGGTCTGTGTTTGGATGGAGGGTGAGAAGAATGAAAAAAATCGTGTTGCCTGATAATGTTCAAAGATGTCATTGGGCTGTATCAAAAGAAAAGAGTGAACGAGATACATTTTAATTGGTCATAAACTCATCATGTTTGTTCCATGTCAGGTAAATCAGTAAAGTGCTCTCAGTTTAAATACCAGGTGGTGGACAACAGCAGCCCTGCTCTGTGGGCATTTCTGAGTTGGAATTTGAGAAAAGGATAAATTTGTGTGAAAAATGATTCTTTAAAAAAACTAGCTGGAAGCGAATTGTGTTACTAAAACTGAGTACAAGGAGGTATGCAAGTGGACACTAGTTTTTGATCAAAGAAATGTAAATTATTTGAGTCTCCCAAGGAAGCTACACTGTCCACATACTTCTATTCTGATTAGGAGTTGATGGTTTCAGGTTTGGAACTTGTAGTTGTTGACACTGTATTCTTGACATTATATTCAAGGTCAGTATGAACTTCAAATCAGCTTGGTACCAGGCTTTCTAAGCGTGGAAGGCAAGCCCTTGCCACCCCCTGCTGCACCCCTCCCTACCAAAGAAAATGATCGCTTGAACACATTGAGAGCAGTAAGAGACTGACAAGAATTTGCAGTTGCCCAAACAACTGAATGTGGCCATTAATCATTAACCTTCATTAGTAGAAAATTCACAGGAAACCTACTTCTGATTATGCTAAATATACCATTTGTTGAAACAATTTTTTACATCCTGTAAGACTGAACTTTGTAGATTTGTGTAAATGACTAGTTTAATTCACTTCCACATTTTATGAAGGAAATAGAATTCCAAACCACGTGCATATCACAAATAATACACTATACACATATGTACATACTATCAGCTATTTAAACCTCTGATCCAATTAGCTTATTTCTACGTTGTATTTATAGTGAATATAAGCACAATTTCGGTTCAGAGAGAACTATAGAACAGTGTCTGGAAGAAAGATGGAAAATGAAGAATTAAGACTTAAAACTACTTTTTTTTAAAGCCGTAAGTGCCTAATTCTGTCCAGTGTAGATTATATGATAAATATCTTGTTTGCTTTATTTTAGCTAGCAGTCAGATTTCCAAGTACTTACTTTGGTTACCTATTAAGACTTTAATAAAAGTATGAACTTGCAATTGGATAATGTCTCACTGTTTTAACAGGCTCCTAGAAAAATTGTGGCTCCATGTATAGAAGTTCACTTGTAGGTAGATGGACTCATGGGAGTATGTTTGTAGTGAGGAAGGGAGAGACATTAGCTAATTGATTAAACTGAGGTAGTAAGGTAGGAACCAGATTCCTTAACTATGATGAGATGTAGAAGTTGTCAGCCTCCTTTTGGAATGCAGGTGTATTTCTACTATAAGCAAGCTTTGAATAAAAGTAAGTTATCCTTATGCAGTTCACAGAATACCTAGGGGTGAAAGCAAATTCATTTTCTGGGGATTGGTTCAAAGGAGGAAGTAGCTAGGCAGACGAGTAGGAGAATTTGGCTTACACTTTTGCACACTTTGGTATAAGTCCCAAGGAAAAAATTTGGGAAATATGTTAAGAATGCAAATCATCAGCTTTCTGCCTGTTGAGTTAACCAAATTAAAAAACAACACTGCACAGTCAGAATGTTAGGTAAAAAAGAGTAACTGGCTCTTCTTTAAGTACCCTTTAAAAAGCCAGTCAGTCAAAGGGTCCCCTAATCAGTCTTACAAAATGTGAGCTCTGTTGTGCTCAGCTGTGTTCCTTGAGTTTCTGGGCTAAGAACAGTCACTCTGTTCCATCTGAGCCAAGACATGATTGCTTCTAGCAAGTTGGAGGGTTTCTATTTTCTCCTGTGCATACTTCAGCTGTGTCTTGAGGGCATCATTATCTGCTTTCAGGGTATTTATTTCCTAAAGAGAGAAGAGAAAGACATAGGTTAATAAAGCAGCAGAAGTTAGTATTAGCAGTACTGCATGCTTGCTACTGTATATTTGCTTGGCATCTCCTATTGTCTATTAGTAAAAATTAGGAACTATTCTCATGAGTTTTTTTCCTGAATAGAAAATAAGTTAAATGTTACATGAGCATGTACAAACAGCTGCTTTTGTTGTATCAGTGATGCGAATGGCTAGCATTCAGAATAAAGCATTGAGACAGTAGGTTGATAATGACAAAACCTTTGGCTGTTGTACAACAGGAATCCTAAGCTTAAGAGATGCAGTCTTTGGTGAGTTCTAAGTATGAAAACAGTAGATCAGAGTTCTGTAAGGATATGGTATAGTTCGTTCCACCTAAGGCATTAAATCATCCCTGCTTCCCAGTCATTGAAACTAATGGACTCGATGTAGATGGGAATTTTAATCTGATCCCTAAACTGAGTTACAGCTATCTAATTTACTGTGATTTAAATAGATGCAGCAACTGATTTCTATAGTATCGTCTTTCAGTCAAATACTGTATTGACTCCAAAGGAATATGTGGGCCATTTCTGAGTACATTAAGGTTTTCAACCTAAAGGGCCCAGACCACTATTAGCTAGTATAAAATGTTGAGCATTTTACTATATGCCGGGTGCTGTACATAATAAAAATATCTGAACTGAGAAATAATCTGCACATTAGTGGTGTATCTCAGTTTCACAGAAGCAGAAAATGTCATGCAGTATCAGGCTGGGGATTTGAACCCAGGTGTATCTGACCCTAAAAAAGTTTACTTTTTCATCTGTTCCATGTTGATTTAGTAGTATAGCACTTTGAATATAATCATTGATACTGTAAATAAAGCATTTATATTAATATACTTTTTGACACATAACACATCAACACTAGTTTCAGGTGTACAACTTAATGAAGTGACCACTGTCTTTATGCACACATTTTTAAAATTTCCAATGCAGTGCTACTGACTTTAGTTCCCATCCTGTTAATTATATCCCTGTGCTGTCTTCCTTGTTAACTTAGAATTTGTGCCTCTTGATCCCGTTTATCAGTGAGATCACTGTGTGATTTCTAATATGACTCACTTTTAGCATAATACCCTTCAGGTCTTTGAAATGTTGCAAATAGCAAGATGTGAGTGTACCCTTGCATCAACACTGATGCATGGCAATGCAGTGTTTAAGTCAACAGTGGAATGACTCTAGATGGTCCTTAAATAACCGTGGTGTGTAACATGGTGTACTATTGAAGTTTGTGCACATGCACTTACACATAAATTACAATGACAAAATGTCCTAGTGACCATTCCTTAGAATGTTGTCCCTGTGGTTACGAGATCATCACTCTCCACACCACATTATCCATCGATGGCTATGTGGTTCTGTATCTAGGCTTGCAAATGATGCTGCAGTGAATATTGGGTGTACATAGTTTTTTGAATTAGTGTTTTCATTTGCTTTAGAGAAGTTCCAGAGAAGTGGAACTGCTGGATTATAGGCTAGTTCTGCTTTCCATTTTTTTTTTTTTCTTTTAGGAAAATGTTTTCATAGTGGCTTCACTAGCTTACATTTCCATTAAGAGTGCATAAGGATTCTTTTCTCCTCACTGTTACCAGCACACCACTTCATCTTTTTGATAACCATTCTGATGGGTCTCATTGTAGTTTGGTTTTATTTTCCTGATGCTAATGATATTGAGTAACTTTACGTATGCTGTGTTGGCCAGCTGTGTGTCTTTGGAAAAATTTCTGTAGATCCAGTGTTAATGTTGTAATTGGGTTGTCCTTTTTTGTTCCAGTGAATTTTTTGCTTAAGGTATTCTGTTGGATATATAGATGTCTTTTCCTATTCAGTATGTTGGCTTTCCATTTTGATTTCCTTTGCTATCCAGTGTTTTCTCGTTTGGTGTAGTCCTATTGCTATGTTCCCTTGTGCTTTTGGAGTCATAGCCAAACAAAAATAAGGACTGCTAAGACCACGATCAGAGGGCTTACTGCCCATGTTTTCTTGTTAGATTTTTATCGTTTCAGCTTTTGCATTCCAGTCTTTAATTCATTTTGAGTTAATTTTTGTGTATGCATGGTATAAAATTGTGGTCCAGTTTTGTTTATATGTTAGGGTTTTTTTTTTTTTTTTTGGTTTTGTTTTGGCATGCAGCTGTCCAGTTTCCAACAGTGTTTATGGAAGGGACTGTCCTTCACTGTATATTCTTGCCTTTGTTGTGCATTTATGGGTGTATTTCTGGGCTCTATTCTGTTCCATTGATGTGGTTTTTCTTCATACCATTCCATACTGCTTAGATTACTATAATGTTGTTAATAGTCTGAAATCTTAATGTTGTCTGCTTCTAGTGTTTCAGTTACTGAATTTTTTAGCTTTTGGAACTTTCTTACATTTGTGTAAGTTGTCAGTGTTCATCTCCTGAGTTTAGTGGGCATCTTTATGACTATTTAAAATCTTATTGGGAAATTTGCTTGTCTTGTTTATTTATTTAGAACACAAACCTTTGTGTCCATCCTTTGCTCAGCTTCTGTTTATTTCTCAGTATTAAATAAACTGGCCTTGTATAAGACATGAACCTTATCTTTTAACATTTTGATCTCTCAAACCCTTGTGATTGTTTAAAGAGTCAGGTTTTTTTTCTTGGTCCTAGTTGTTAAGGATGCCAAAAACTGTTTTAGATCTGTAGGGCCTAGAAGGATAATCATGTTCCTTCACCCCCACAGCAGTGAGGTGTTCCTCAACTGGCTTTGACAAAGCAATTTGGTTGACCCTCTGGTACTAACCCTTTTAGAGGGGTATTTTCTAACACAGTGTCTGTTAGCAACTCCATCCTCATTTTCCAGTTTCCTACCCACTCTGGCTGATGCTTAAAGGTCATCATATGGATCTAGGCATATTTTGAACTGTTGTTTATGGTTGAAATGAACTTGTTCGTCAGTTCTTTGGAGCTGGAACCTATTCCCTATGCTCTATGGGTCCCTTTTCAAAAGCTGTACATTTTGCCACTAGTTTCTCCATCATAAGCCTCAAGGGTTGTGTGATGTTTAATGTGGGTTACAAACCTCTTAGTCCTCAGGGTAAAGGTACATATTTGTGGGATCCCTCCAAAATAGGGGCAACCATGTTTATGGTGGAGTTTTGGTGAGATTTTTTTTTTCTGACTACCATTTTCACCGTGATTACTGAATCCTTCATGTGTATGTACTGTTCAGCTGGTTTTTGGTGGTGGGGGTTGGGGGGAGGGATGTCTCCAATTTAATATTAGTAGTTTGTGAGAGAGTTCTAGCTTTTCCTACATCACCATCTTGAATTGCCTTTGTTATTTTAAGTACTCATTTCACTAGTTACTGTGAATGGAATCACTCAATTACATATAAATAAGTCACTGAAAGGATTTTATTCATGGAAAAGTAGGGCTCACATTGCTTTTTCAGTCATTTCTGTCCCTTTGGGACCTTTGACAAGGATGAATGCAAAGAGGCCACTGGGAAGATGGTGAGGAAGTTTAACAGCCCACTTGGTGTCACAGGACCAGTCTCATCTGAAATAAACCACCCCCTTTTTTTTAACAAGAGATCATTGTTGCCAATATGTTTCTTTTCCTGGGCATATGAAATGTCAAGATCTGAAGCAAAATGTACAGGATGTGGAATCCTGTATTTTGCAGAGGGTCAAATAGGTAAGTTTAACTGCCAGCATATATTTAGGCGTACAAACAGTAATGCCTATCCCCAAGACCAAAGTCAAGTACATTGGTCAACGTTTCCATCATAGCTGTTAAAAACTGCATTTGAAACTGTAAGCCTTAAAGAGAGGGCTTTTGTGAGACCTACTCTTTGCCACCTTCTCACTGATTTGATTCTTAAAGCATCTGGAAAATACTCTTAAGCAAGAGAGCACCTTTGATCTAGAAAATGTTTTTATATTCCTAATATTGTGTTCTTTGTTCCACAGACCACAGCAAGTGTTAATTCAGTTCTTGGGGTTGTGACAGGGAAAGAGGCATAATATTCAGAAGACAGTCCTCTGCCCTTCTGGACTGACTGACTAATATGTACAGTTTCAGGGATCCTAGCTAGTTGGGTGGTGAAGTTATATCTTCTATTAGTAGGTCATCAAAAACTGTCCCTTTTCCCCAAAACATTGGGACCTTTGACAAGTGAACAGTAATGTTGGGATGAATGTATTCTTGCTTCTCTCTCTAGGAGGAGCTGTTACCTATCAGAGATAAGAAACTATCTTGTGGCAAGTCGTCTAAGCCAGACCCTGTGAACTTTTGTTCTCTAGACAGAAAAGTAATACCTTAATAATGGACTCTACAGAACTGTTTCTGGCGGACTGCGTGCTATCACCAGCTGTCCACTCTTCTAGTTTTCCTCATCATTTCCTTCTTCAAAAAAGCAGTGCCTGGTACTGCAGTGATTGCCATTTTATAGATTCTACTCCCTGATATGTTTGCCCTCAGTATATCAATAGGGAGGCTGCACTGTGGTGAGCTCTGCTCCTTTTCCTTTTTGTAGCACAATGATCATCTACCTTTTAGGAAGAGGCCTATTCAACTATGAAGGTATCAAAGCATAGCCCTGAATAGAGGTTAACAAGACTCCTAGAGGAGATGTAGGTAAGGCTGTTTACTGTTCCATCTCGTAAATGGGTGTAGTGTGGTGTCAGCATAGTGAAGCTGACAGATCAAAATCGGGTTTTTCAAGGTGTCCTGTGAACAGCATGGGGCTGAACGGGCAGCTCTTTGCACTGAGGAGCACTGTTGAGCTTGTTGCACTCAAGTACTATGAGCCAGAGCTCTGGCTTGAGAGAAAGCCAAAATCTTTTTCTGTTCTCCATGTTCTTGCTCTTCCTTCATTGAGTCTGAATAAAAGGAAAAGGTAGGTACCTGTTCCAAGTCTTGGTATGTTGGCAATCTGAGGTGACGGAGCTCCTCCTTTGATTTTATGAGGGATTCTTTATTCTCCCATTTGACAAAAGCTCGCTTTCTCACCAAGACTGGGCTGGGGCATGGAGATGTGGGGCTGGGGAGCAAGTAGAGAGTATCCTGGGCTGTCTTCCTTGGTGATGACAACACAAAGGGACCGGAAGGACCCTCGCTGCCCAGCCAAGATGGTGATTCAGTCTGGGTGGCTTTATGGGCGACAGTTCTCTTTAGCTGCATAGAAATTTGCGAGGACATGCCCATGAGCATGATGGTCCGATCCTTATTTTCCTCGCTGTATTCCACAGCCTCCCCATTAGGGAATGTAAAAGGTCCTTCTTCAGGCACTAGAAGGAGATAGATACAGGACATGTTAATACTGGAGCTCAGAAAAGCATGTTCTGAAATTGACACATTACTTTCAAATGAGACCTTTCTTGTTAGGAGTTCCAGTTTCCCCAAGTGGATTCATTTTTCAGGCACCCAATTCAGGTGACTAAGGATTTGTAACCAAGTCATTGGGTTGGTATGGGGAAAAGAATTTCTGGACAACAGAAGCATCCATTTTTTTTTTTTTTTAGATTAAAAATCCTAGATATAAAGAAATTTAGAACAGTATCTCCTCAAGAAGTAAATGGAAACATCAGGCAAATAAAAAAAAGGACAACTTAGGAAACAGTCATGCTACAGCTGCACATTGGTTGCCTACTCTGTGCTGCTGCCCTTGCTTATCCTAACAGGTCCTGAGGCAGTTTTGCATTCCTCTCATTTTGAATTCTTCTCTTATGTGGGTGGGGTGGAGCTGGGAGATGACTGGAGAACTGGAATCTGAGTTAGAATCCCTGTCCACGCTTCATGGGGGAAAGGTGCAGACAAACATGACATTTCATGTATTTATATTATGACAGAATTGTTCCTGCTAGCAATGAATACTCTTAAAACACAAGGTGCCTGATACAGAGCATGTCTTTCTTTCTCATTGGTATTTGTGGTGGTTTCTGTGAAGAGTGGGAAAGATGATCACTCACCCCTAAATTTTATCACCCCCTTGTCCCCGGGGGATGTTCCCATTCTTACCATGGAGCAGATCTTTGGCTCCCAGTGAACAAAGGTTGGACGTTGGCCCCACAGCAGTGCTGTTGTCTGTGGAAGCTGCTAGGTTCTTGGCTCGCTTCTTGCACTCGAACACAACCAGGTCTTTGCATTGTTTGTGGCAGTTCATCCCGCAGTCTGTGGAGAGGACAGAGAAATTATTTCTCCAGAGGTATAACCACATGCATGAGGACACCTAATATTCCCAAGAGATTAAATTGTTCTCACTTGGTCAGCTCTGGATCTCAGACCGGGGTGCCTTCTGCGGTTCTCAGAATCAGGGAGCAGCCTGGGGGGGCGGGAGGTGGTGGGTCCTACACAGGCGGCCTGCTCTGAAATGCGCCCGGAGGACCCCAGCTGCTAGTTCTTACTTTTCTTCTGGGAAGTGTGAGTTTTCTCCCTCACTCCTAAACTTTATTACGAATTTCTTCTGTTCCAGAAGTAGTCCTATGCTTTTCATTGGGAACCTGTCTTTCCACGATCAAGTGACAGTATGCGCTCCATTGCCAAAGCACCCAGACAGAGGGGTACTTTCCCCTTGTAAGGGGAAACTGCAAAGCCGGGCCCGAGACCGTCCTCACCTCTGGTGGCAGTCATTATGGGGCTACTCTGGGGGAGTGTAGGGGCCAGACAGTACTGTGGGTAAAGGAGAAACCCCTTAAGGCCAGGGGGGGAAATGACATAACTGACAAAGCTGAAGCTTACCTTTACAGCGATAGCCTTGTTTGATGACTCCCCAGAGCTGAGACAAGAGACAGGGAAACATGTCAGTTGTATACGTGTTGTGAGGCTAGATGCTAACATTGCTCTTGATTTTCCCTAGTCTTCCTCTACCTCAAGTGGGAGGGAAGTGTTTTTTTCTCCTAATCTTAAATTGAAACGAGGAAAGGTTTGTGTTGATCTGTCAAATGTCCAAGTAACTCATGAGAGTGCAGTTGGGCCAGGCCCTAAGTGAATTCCAAACTAAGGACATGTCCATAGAACCCTAGGCTCAGGGCCATGTGGGGCAGAAGAGGTGCAGACAGGAGACTTGTTTAAAGGGGGGCAGTGGTCTCATTTCTAACATTAGAACAAGTCTTGCATTTGAACATGTCCTGCCATCTGTATAGATCTCAAGCATCAGAGGAAAAATAAATCAGGAAAAAGATGCATGTGAGCCAGGAAGCCAGGTTAGGTAGGATGCATGAGACCTGTGCCTGGCTTACTCATTTAAACTGCCTGTACCCTTCTTCAAGTTCAATCCCGAAGCAGTCTGACAACAACTTACAAATCCAGCACAGTTGTCACAGAAAGTGGGTTTCAGGTAGGTGGTCTCCTGGAAGTTATGAGGAAAGCCCAGGCCCAGCTTAGAGTAGATGGAGCTGGCCCGCATGAAGTAGGCTGTGATCTCATCTCTGCTGATGAGCCCTTCCCTGCCAGCAAATGAGAGAGCAGGTAAGTGAGGGTGGGTGAGGACTGCGGGCAGGAGCATTAGCATGTCCAGCCTGAGACTCACCTTGGCCTTTATGGGTGGTCAGGATGCATTACCTGATCGTTACTTCTAAGAGCTCTCTTAATAAGGGTACAGGGATAGCATTGCTCAGTTCCACAGAATTGTTCTCTAGGTTTTTAGAACTAAACTACTGTCTACCGGTTTTGAAAAAAAAAAAAAAATGATGGAATATCTGTACAGGGAGGAAGACTGTGCTACGGTTTCTCACTGTAGACAGTTAATGCTATATAACTGGAACCCACCAACTGACAACTTACTGAACTGAGAAAAATATGTATTGTTTGTCATAACCTGTAGGAAGAGCCAGAGTAAGACATTTTTTCCTTCTATATAGCTGATTATACATGAAATCTTCCCTTCTGAGGCACTGACGAAGGCATGCAATTTTTAGTGGTCTGTCCTGGTCTATAGCCAGTGGCCCTGGCCCTCAAGTGTATGCCTGAGAGCAAGTGACATGCCCATAAGCTGCTTTACCTGCAGGCTTACAAGTAAATATTCATAGATCCCAAACCTTACCTGTCTTTGTCCATCACACAGAAGGAAAAGGGAAAACTTGCAGCAATTTTTTCAAACTCCTCCTGAGAAATGTATCCATCCTGGTCATGATCATAGTTCTTGAAGACAGACTGTTAAAACAGGTTTTTGTTTTTTTTTTTTTTTTTTTGGTGATCACAAAGGAGAATTAAGTCCCTTCCGGCAGCTGAAAAGGGGCTGTATGACTAGATAAGCCTGTCTTCAGCCAGGATGAGGACACAGCACAGAAATGCTGCGCTCATATCCTGGGCCTCTCCCTTCAGCCCTGGGCACCTTGTACACAGCCCAGGCTGCACCGGGATGCAGGACAGGTGTTGGGCCCCGCATCAGCCTGCATTGCACTAAAGTGAATTGGGCAGTTTCAGAAATTTTCACATGCAAATGTTTTCCAGCATGTTCTCTTACCAGATTCCTAAAAGGCACCTCTCCCCCATGAGAGGTCAGCGTGTACGATGAGTGGTTTCCTGTCCTCAGAGGATGATTTACTTCCTCACCTTTGTGCCACTTAACAGTGGGTTCCCCTCACCCTTGGGCAGCTCCCTGCTTTTGTCTGCAAAGCCCTGGGCACTTACATCCACCATCCTCTGCACATGCTTGCTTATGGTCTTTGGGTCGGGCTTGGGAGAGACTCCAGAGGCCCAGTCCACGACGACGGGGGGCTTCGAAGGAGTAAGTGGCTAGAATAAAACGTTCAGAATGACTATGAGATACAGGTCTCTGGCTGTGCTGCCCCCACCATCCCCCTACCCATGCACACAGAGCCACGAGCCCATGTGTGGGTCACCAAGTGCTCCTCACATCACCACCAACATATAATAAAACTTGAATCCGTGTCAAATGGCTAAGACATAACCCTGTGTTCAATAAATTAGCATAGATGTGGAGAGAATGCAGGATGCTGAACTCACTGGCGCCCGGTGGTTTCTGGGTTCTCGTGCGTAGGAGAGCTCATAGATCTCATCCTCAGTGTAGTACAGATCGAGGGACAACTGTGGGGAAGGAAATGTGCTTTTGGTTTTTTCTTGTCTCCCCTGCCTTACCCCTCAGGCAGTAGGGCTCCTTCCCCCTCTCGGCTCACCGTCAGGAGGTGCACTAAGTCTTTGTTGGCCTCCAGGGGCGGGGCCACCTCTTGTAGTTGCACCAGCTCGTTGATGTGATTGTAAAGGGCAAGCAGCTTGTGCACGTTCACCTTCCCGTCCTCCAGGTAATCGGGCATGGCTTCGTACAGGGAGATAAGGTCTTTGAGGTGCACCCCCAGGATGGGGATCTTGAAATGGGTGCATTCCCCATAGGCTCGGCGGTAATTGTCATAGTTTCTACAGGAGGACAGCAGTTCAGTCATCTCACCCAGAACCTACAAAACACAAACACAAGTCACAGGTAACAAACACCACAGTTTGCAACAACCACATTTCTCAATCCCTGCTGTGAAGCAGGGGGTGATTCACCTAGAGGGTGCAGGCTAGGACACTCCAGTCAGATCACAGCCTATCATGTTCAATTTACTGCATATCTGGGAAACTTTAAAAACCCCAGAAGTTAATTCCTTGAACAAAAATTTTAAAAGTGCAAGAGTATATCCAGTGGGTAGTACGTGTCCTCCTCACCTTCGTCCCTTCCTTAGTGCCTTCTTAACTATCTCCAGGCCACTTTACCATGTACATCAGCTAGAATGTGCTGTTACAGGTGTGGGCAGCGGCGTTGCTGGCCCAGAAAACGTCTTGTGTGGCGTGTTCGTATTCTCTGTGCTGCTCTGTGGTGTTTATGTCACTGCTTCTCAAAAGGGGCCAGTGTCTAGGAAGCAGGTCACCCTCACACCGAAACCCTGAGCTACACAGACTCAGTACACTACTACTTTCCAGCAAAGGAGGGGACAGAAGATGAGACAGAGACCACTGTGCTCAGGCTGCTCAGACTCGTACTCACCTTATTGATTTCATGAGGGACGTGCGAACTTGTCTCCTTGAGCCTGGAGATTGAGCTGTGACATAGCCCACCTATCACAGCCATCAGTGTATTGAAATTCTGCAATTGATGGAGTTTCTGGGACACAGGAAACAAAAAGCAGAGTCAGTCCTGGCCAGTCCAGTTACCTGAGAACTCAGAGCCTGCCCCTCTTTCTGCCCATCAAAGGCTACAAAATGGGTCTTGGGCTTTTCAGCCCACTTCTCCCCCTAGGCCAAACTTAGCAAGGTGTCACATCTCTGTTGCAGCTTATCTGTGGACCACCCTGTACACGAATGGTTTAGAAGAAATACACCAATTATTCGTAACAGAAAGGTTTCTAGACCCAAGCTTAGATATTGAGTTCCCGAACCTGGAGTTAACATTATGCTTTCTGCTTTTACTATGGCTTTAGTTAATATCAGAGCAGGTGGTGTGTAGACAATGCTCGAGAAACAATCTAGACCAGGAAAAAATATTACCATGCCCTAGCTCTTAAGTACTTTGCTCCAAATTAACCAGACTTATTTTTGAGGTCAAGAATTCTGTCTTACCATCCTTGAAATAGCAGGAACTACTGGGATAGAGGAGCTTGAATCTGGGAAATGTCAAACATGCATTCATAGTACCTAGCTGTCCCTTATCAAAAGCTTAGTCCCTGCCCTTCAAACATTAAACTTACCCATTCAACACAACATGGATCAAAAACCTCAAAACTCACAGAGTGGTCATTCTAAGTAAAATTTGGAATTGTCCTTTCCTTTGCCACATGGGCCAGGTTCGGGTAAACAATATAGGCTCAGAGGCATTGTGTGAAGTGTTAAGGATCTAATCCGATTGCGTGGCCTCTCCAACCTGCCCTTATAAGGGGAACAGAAGTCATCAAATCTAGATCAGGGGAGTGAAAGGTGAACAAACGCCACCATAGTTTAAGGGGAAAAGCAGCTCTACTGGACCGAAGCGGCTTACGGGAACAGGGACTGCTTACCTGCTGGCCCAGGCCCAAGTCTTACTTTGTCCCCTCACCTGAGCCACCTGGATGAACTTGATGAAGACTTCTGCTCGAAGCTGTGGGGTGGGGCGGCTGAGAACCATCAACTGTACCCACTGGGAGATGCCATTGCACAGGGCAATGGACCGTTCCATCATGGGGTTCTCCTTCACAGAGCTGTTCACGAGGTAATTCTGATAATCAGAAAACTGGAGAGAAAAAAAGCATCAGGACCGCCACTCGTATTGAGAAAGCCCAGGGTCACATCACATCTGCTCAGCTGGAGGCTACTAACAGCTATGGGACAGAGGAGCTCTGCCCTCCTCTCTCGCATGTCCACCACTTGGTGACAAGAAGGGCAGGAAGGAAATCTACCCACAGCTGGTTCCTCCACAGCAAAAGCTCTCAGGCGTAAATGGATGCACATACCTGTCAGTTCATCCGAATAGTATATATAAATAACTAGATGCTGACTGTTCCAACCTCTAGAGAGTGCAAAATAGAACAGATTTGTGTGTGTGTGTGTGTGTAGTTTCAGCGCTTGCTGAAGTAATGGGGAGAAAAAAAAATCCTCCCACAAAACTACTCTCTCTCCTACCTGTTTTCTTAACTTAAAATGGAATGATTACATCTACCCCACCTAGGATGAGGACTTGTTAGGAAGATCACACATGATAATAGGTGAAGGCAATTTCACTTTTCTAGATGTTACCTAAGCATGAGGTAGTGCTAATAGCATCACTGTTAGTCTCATGCTAATAGCAACCTGTTTGGATTTCCTTCTCACCAACTTAAGGGCCGACTGAGCAGGCTACATGACATCTGGTGAGCATCGTTCCCCAAGTGAACACTGGCACTAATGAGTCATCAGTGAAGCAGGGTATGTGAAAATGACAAAGGCCCTGAAGATCTAGGAGGGTCAGAACTGCTGTGTCCCTGCCGATGACAATCCTGGCCCAACAGTATAACCTAAGAGTCGGAGGAGTCTGCTCTGCTCCTATGCAAGTTTTTGGTGCTACTCCCCATTCTCCATTTCCAAACTTTCCACATGTGACCACGTACAAGGGATGTGATTTTTGAGGTAAATGAATGATGTGCTCTGTTGCCTTTCCACTGCCACAGAGATGCTGGGAATTTGTGTCAAGAAGCAGCATCTAGTTTGAACAATTGAGATCAGCAGAGGCCACCTGCTAGCCCATGGCAGACGTTTGCTTTCCTGTCTCTGACATTGGTGGGGAGAGTTTGGAGGGTTGTTGCACACCCTTGTTCTGTCTCACCAGTAAGTATATTACCCAAGAAATACTAACAAGCTCAATAAAATAAATGCAAATTAACTGATGCCCATGTTACTGTGCTATGATTGCTAAGGGGTATAAAAATATGAGTTAACCAAAACTACGTGAGAGAGACATACAACTAAAACTTAATAATTCTAAGAGTAAAATACCCATGACTTATTCCATGGAATATGTTTATATACCCCTCCCACTATGAACATATTGAATCCACTTTTTTAAAAAGGATTGTTTCATTTCTCTCCTCCCCCAACAAAATATAATAAACAGAACTGTCAACTGTCATTCAATTTATAAGAGAAGAGGGGAAATTTATTGTTTGGGAAAACTTCAGAACTGTGTGGGAGAAACAAAACAAAAAGATGAGAAAGTCCTTTTCAAAGGACATACTCAATTGCAGACAGAACATGGCCTCCACCCTGGGCAGCACTGATTGGGAGTCCTCCACCTGCAATGATTTTTTCTTTTTCGCCTCCACCAATCCAATCTGAACTCAGGTACTAGGCAAATATCCTGCAGGTCTGAGGGATCAGCTCTGACAGCTGCTCCCCCCATACCTCAGATCTCCAGGGTGAGAAAGGCACTCTGCATTGACCGCTGTGATGGGGAGGCATTACCAAAGGCATGCCAAATGCCAACTCTCCAGGGGGGCTTCGCAATGAGTCCTGTGGTTCTGTCTGAGAGATGCCACTGTGGAACCGATGGGAACAACACATTCGTGCTTGGAACTTATTTCCAAACAGGAGTGGGGGTGGGGGTGTTGCTCTTGGCTGATTGGTCAGAAAGCTCTGTGAAACTAGCAGGGTTGTCAAAGCCATGGAGAAAGGATGGTATAAGCCCTGGAAGCCAGTCTGAAGTTCCAACGCCTATAACCAGCTTAGATTCAACCTTATATGGAATGACCTACTCCGCAAAGCAGGCAGCCTTGTTTAAGCCAACCTTACGGGACTCCATTCACTCTTCAGCAAATACAAGTCCTTCTAAGAAATGGGTCCAGCAACCAACTAACTAGCTATTCTCAAAGCAAAGCTGAAGACTGTTGGTAGAGGTGGGGGGTGGGCTATAAATGAGCCTGTTGTTTGCCAAGAAAGCGATTGGACAGAGAATCTGTTGGTACCTGACATGTTGACAAGTTCTCTTTGACATGTTCTTGACATCCATATGAAGGTGAACAGGGTTTGGGCAAGCACAGTGTATTTCTAGGTTAATGTTAGCCCCATTTGGATCCAGACAATCAAAGAGCTTAGGCATAACCTGAGCTAGACCAGTGTCACCCACGTTGTTTCCCAGAGCCATTCAAGGCCTATTATAGATCGAACTCAAACTACATTTGGGGTAGTTTTTTTTTTTCATTCTGGAAACCTAATGATTTATCAGGGGTAAGAAGGGCATCTGTGCATGTGTGTACGTTCGTGTGTGTGCACGCACTGTGTGTGTGCAGTGAGTGCCAGGTGTGCCTACAGTGTGGTCACTTGAGTGCATGTTAGGTTCATCTGTGAGAATGGGCGGTGGGAAGCACAGCCAGAGCAACAAAGAAATGCAGAGATTTTCTGGGCCCCAAGAAAGGGCTTGCCAACACGGAGGGGGTCTCTAGAGTTAGGAGGTACACAAGCTGTTGAATTCCTATGCTTATTTTCAGAAATATCCCCCAAAGTTTCTCTTCTGCCCCAGGATACATACCGATATCCTCCTGAAGGACTTGAACTCAAGGTAGGTGAGGTGTTCAGATAGCTCTTCTGGTTCCAGATGATCAAAGAGCAGAGATACTTTCCGTTTCTTGCTTGTGTTAGATTTTATCCTTTGAGTAAGTTTCCTGGACCAGTCTCGGGCATTGCTTTCATGGATAAAAGTAAAAGGAAGAAATGGAGAAAATGAATACACCAAAATTGCTTTTTTAATTCAAATAAATTCATTAATGTTTCCCACAAGAATATATAAGCAGCATTAGCTAACTTTCCTTGGCCAAAACAATGCATTGATAGATTGATTTTTCTGAAGTGACAAGTAGGAAATCTTGTTTTTCCAATAAACGTTTCCTGGGAACTGGTGAAGGACATCTGCTTCAAGGCCCTGGAGGGCAAGCCTGAAACACCAGTCAGTTTCTTTGCATTTGGTCCTGGCGCCTTTGCCTAGCCCTTGGCACGACTTCCCTCTCCATGCTTCCTTGATGTCCCCTCATTGTCATGGAGGTGATAGGGACTCTATCTGGTTAGAAATGTCAAGATCATCTAGTTTTCTTCACAGAAAAAAAAAAAAAAAAGCCAAAAAAACCAGAGTCCCAAAGAGAAATGTCAGGTTGCAAGGTATTATGGGTAGGGACATGAGGTGACTCTGGGTAGACTTGAGGCATTTTCTTCAAATGTCTCCAGTCACTGGAGTGGCCAAGGAAGCCCAGCTGTTCCTGAGTGCCCCTACCAATCTGTGTGCTTTTTATTCAGTTTCAATTGCCTTCACCAAGGTAGCAGAGGGAAACAGTCAGTTTGATAGGTAGCATATTATAAGTATGTCTTCCTGAAAGCCTCTTTTGATAAAAGTGTTTATAGCATATGGTCTGTGCTTGGGAATACCAAATTTAGTTAGGACTATGAAATGTGATTGTGAAATCATTTCTATATAACTATGGCCTAGTGTGTTGAGAGGCCTAAGTGTCTAGCTTCTGCTCTGCCTCTAACTTAGCCAACTGGATGACCCCAGACAACTCATAACCTTGCTGAGCCTCACTTTCCCAGGAAGTTGGATGAAATGGTCTCTAGATTATGAACCAGTTGTCAAATCTATCTCCTGGGGATTCGTACAATTCCAAAATAAAGTGGGCATATTGTGAAAACCTTAACAATGTATTCACTCTCCTCTCCCAAATTAGACACTCATTTTTTTTTTTTTTTCCAGAGGGGCCAACCTCAAGTAAGAAATCCAGGGAATACTTTGAAAAATTTCTGAGACCCCTTCCAACTCAGAAGTCTAGATGTCTTTTATCAACACCCACACACAGATATTACAAGCATCTATACAATATACATGTTATGCACAAGGTATTTTTCAACAGTCCCTTCCCCATTTACAAAGTAGGGGACAGTAGCTGCTAAAGCAGGATGGATTTAGTCATTGCACTTTCAGCTTCTCATGATCTGGATAAATTTTAGTCAACATCTTGCTACCAAAATTAATTTCTTTCTGATGGAGACTTTTTATTTCTGCTCTTGGATATTAGTCACCTAGAGCTTTATCAGCCAGGGTCTTCTCTGCTTTCCTGTTAAATATCAAGCTGTTCTCGGCCCTCCCTGGTGGCGCAGCGGGTTAAAGCACTGCACTGAGAAGCTAAAGCCACTTCCGCATGAGTTCGATTCCCGCCTGCCCCGGAGGTGACCATATGGCGTGGCAGACCTCTCCTGACCCGCCCGCTGCTCCCCTCAGCAGTGTACTTCGTCCATCTGCCTGTTCTGCCTCCCACTCTGTCTCTGGTGAAGCCTCTCGCCACCCCTGAGCCTCTGGCCTGTACCCCAGTTCTGTATGTACAAATAAAATAAATCTTTAAAAAAAAAAAAAAATATCAAGCTGTTCTCTTCGGTGAGTTAACATGAACCTGCTTTGCTGAGGGGCTCCTAAGAGGCAGAGGCCTAGCAGAACAGGTGGGGATGTATTAGGAGAGGGATAGTTTCCAGAGACCATTTAAAACCTTGACACTTACATTTGAGTTGTGTCAATCAGGCGGCAGTGCAGCTCCTCACCATTCACCTTCACCAGCTCCTGGAACTCCTCCATAGTGTCTGTCAGGCCGGCATCCATTTTAAACATGATCCAGAATTCTGTTATCCAGTACCTGCAAGATGGATGTTAAAAAGTACAATCCGGCCCTCCCTGGTGGCGCAGTGGGTTAAAGCACAGCACTAAGAAGCTTAAGCCACTTCCGCATGAGTTCGATCCCTGCCTGCCCCGGAGGTGACCACATGGCGCGGCAGATCTCTCCTGACCTGCCCGCTGCTCCCCTCAGCAGTGTACTTCGTTGATCTGCCTGTTCTGCTCCCCACTCTGTCTCTGGTGAAGCTTCTCGCCACCCCTGAGCCTCTGGCCTGTACCCCAGTTCTGTACGAATAAATAAATAAATCTTTAAAAAAAAAAAAAAAAGTACAATCCAAAGGTGAAGCCAAGGACACTCCTTGGTGGGTTCTTCCTGGGAAGAAAACTTCAGAAAGACAGATGCTGATTTTCTCTTTCTATATACTTCGGAATATGAAAATATATGCTACACACAGAATGAGGAGCTGGGTGGGGTGAGAGTGGGGTGGGGAAGAAAACCACCTGATGATACGCCTTTGTACTCTCTGTACTAAAGGCTTTGCTGGGAAAGGAAATGACAATTGAGAGGTCATGACATAGATTTAGGCATAATCATATACATCAAGGTAATCACAACAACTACTGGCAAACCACTTGTCCACAGGTGGGACAATGTAGCTAAGCTTCATCATGTCTTATAATGTTGTTTGATCATGACAAACAAACTTTACAAAAAGCCTTTAATGAGTAGGTGAGATTTAATCATGAATTTACAAACTTTATATTTGCTCTCAGTTATGTTTTTTAAAAAAAATCTGCCTAGAAAAAGACAAATATACCGAAGTTGGTACTTGGCTAAGTGATTATTACTATCGTGATATAATTTTTTTCTTTCCTGTATTTTCAAAGTGCTCTATAATGAGCTATCTTTCTTATATAATTGCCAATAAAGACAAAAAGCTCCTTCATTGTCTCTGTCTTTCTCCCTTAGGTCATCTGATGCCAACATGCTATATGACTGAGGAAAATACTAATCTCAAGGTCAGATCACTAGAAAAAAGAAATCATACTGTTGTGAGGAATTTTCCAGTACTGAGCACTGAGCTTCCAGCATGCCCGAGGCATTCTGTAGATGGTCAGGAAAGGAAGGGCGGGGAGGGTCAGGAGAGCACCCAGTGCCTCACTTTAGGCTTTGATTTCACCCTCCTCTAGCAAGTCCTCAAGCTCACAAAAGCATTACCTTACAAAGTAGCAGATCTTCAAGCAAAGCCCTCGGGAATTCTTTTCCAGAGCATCCTTATAGGTAGGATGTGGTTAAGGGAAATGCAAGCCTCTGTTACAAAAACTGTACTGCTTGTCATATTTACAAGTATTTGCTAAAACTACTCCCTCCCTACCCTGTGCCGGAATACACTTTAATGAAAATATTTTCTTATCTCTTTGGCAGTAGGATAAAAACCAATGTCATGTGAGCAGCTGTTTGCTTATTATTACCTACAAGGGGGATAATGGTGAATTCCTATCTCACCATGCAGAAGGGACTTAGGAAAGGGGGCTGTAGCAACCCCTTTACAGAAATTGCACTGGAAGTCAACATTATGGAAAGGCTCCCACACAGGGGCCAGTAAGAACTGAAGTTGGGGATAAACAACCTTAGCCTGCACCTAAGAGACCAGGACTTCAACTGAGACAATATTAAGCAGTGAATTAGAAGGGGAGTGAGTAAATGTTCAGAAATATTACCAAGATAATTAAGAACAATCATATGAAAAAAGATAAAAATATGCCTAGAGGTTGTCAGTAGGCTGATGTTATGGAAGGTCAGAGAAAATTAGGTCAATGACCCAAAATACAATCGAGAGCAGGCAAAAAGGATCTTTATCCCTCGGAATCCACGAGAATGGTGCCATCTCAAGCATATGAAAGAACAGAAATGGAAAACTAGAAAACAGGAAACCACCTGTGCTTATTTACAATTCTATTCCCTCCAGGTCAGAAAACAAGGAAATTAATCTGGAGAGGAAAAGAGAAGTTTTGACTTCAAAGTTTAGCCTGAGTTCTAGTAACAGGGAATCTTTCAGCTCAATCTCCCATCTAAACATCCCTCCCCAATTCTACATCAAAACAGAGTCCCAAAGTCCTGCTAGAAACAGAAAAATAATTCCAATGTTTCTCACACACACACACACACACACACACACACACACACACACACACACACACGTAATGCAACATTCATTGTGTCTTACTATGAGATGATCACTACGCTAAATTATAGAGAAACAAATTAGCCTTGATTCCTGCATTAGAGGGACACAGTCTACTGAGGGAGATGATGTGAAAACAGGTATGTTATCACACTTACCTACATTCTTACAGTGACTTATAATTAGGTTTCCAGTGCCCTACAACCTGGTATATTATGAACATTCAACAGAGTTAAGTGTGTGTAAAGATTCTGCTGTTTGCTTGATGTAGTCATTACTGTAGGGTATCCAGACATTACATTGCTGCTATCTTTATAGGCTGACATGCAGATGGAGCAATTTATTTAGCTAAGTGACTAAAAACTTTTTGCAGTCACAGGTGAAAAAAATTTTCAAAGCAGATTACATCCAAGTCAGAGATGTAAGAAAAACACGACTTAAGCAATACAAAATTAAAGTCATAGCAAGCACACAGATTTTCAACCACCACTATAAGATATATCTTTAAAGGATGGGGATGGACTGAAAGAGTTAGGAAAAACTTTGCAGGCGGAGGAGAAAGCATTCTGGGCACAGGAAATGTGAGGGCACCCATGGGTCTTGTGTGTTCAGAAGTTCGCGTGGAAGGGAGCAAGGGCCTCTGAGATGTGGGAGGGATATGGACTGTGAAGGGCCCTTCCTGGCAACTGAGGGCCTTGCTGTCAGTCCTGTGCTTGGCAGACATCCTGATGCAAGGGTCCACCTGGTTTGCCTTTCAGGGAAGTACCTTCAATGGTGGGTACATGAACAGTAGAAAGACACATTGATGAGGCTAGAGGGACAGAGGCCTGGGAGAGCCACCATGGAGGTCCCAGTTAACGTAGGCCTATGGGAACCGAGAGAAGAGCCCAGAGAAGAGTCGGCTCTGAAGGAGAAACCCTTGCATCAGTGAGGGTTCAGTAAAAGGGGAGAAAGAGTGGGGAGTCAGGAGTGCCTCTGCTATGCTGGCTTCGGCAATCAGAGTTAGGTAAGGATACCCTGAAACTGAAAATGAGAACACAAGCATCGAATCAGAATTACCGGGGTGGTAGTTCTGGAGAACAAGCCAATGGGTTCAGTCTGAACATATTAAGACCAGAGTGTCTTCAGGACAAGCCCGTCCAAAGAAACCAAAGGGGAAAGAGGGCTGGTTTAGAGAACTATAGTCTTAAAAGTCATCGGTACTGAGGAATGGAGATCCTGGAAAAATCATAGGGGCAGGACATAGAACGAGAAGACAACCAGATGTCTCATATTTGACAGGCGCTCACAAAGAGGCCAGGTGAAAAGCTGGAAGGGGGAAGGGAGTCAGGAAGACCCAGTTTCGGAAGCCCACGGAGGAGGGAGTTTGCAGAAGGCTGGTTGCCACCAATGTCCATGTGAACCAGGGTGGAGAAGCCATGGGCTGAGCAACCAGGTCACAGTGATGTCAGAGGAAACTGTGACTTCAGGGCAGCAGCCACAGTTAAGGGGTGAGTGAGTGGGAGTTGAGAGATTGGAGATAGTGAGTAAGGACTATTTTAAGAATTCTGCACTTCAAATTTCTAACCCTAACCCAATGGAATGAAAGGGAGGCAGAGTTCACAGTTTATTTTTAGGTTGGGGACACGTGAATGTGATTTAGACCGAAAAGCAGGTGCCACAGAAGAGTTAAAAGGTGTGAAAGGAGGCCAGTGGTGGAGTAGGATTTTGTGAGAAGTGGGGGAGGACGAGAAGAGGCCCAGTCCAGCATGTGGACTGTGGACTGGCTGGGGTACACCAAAGTTGGCACCCCAGGTACAATTTAGTCTTTGAGCCAACCAGCAATTTCCACAGTGGAAGTATTCAACCACTGGCATGGTTCAGAACTGTGGGCATACGTGTCACAAAAAACTGGAAAGATGTAGAATCTGGTTTAGTATAGTTTTAAAATTGAGAATTTACTGCCTCCACCTTTTAAGTGTGACCTTCTCCAATGCTCTGGCTAGGAATACAGCTGGACACACCCACTCTGAGATGGGGGTGAAGACGTAGAAGCAGGGTGAGAAGGCATTCAGGCCTTGTGACTTTCCCCCCTTTTTTCTTCTTAAGAGCAAAGGCAGGTTATCAAGAGAGTGGGAAAGGCGGGAAGAGCCACCAGCCATGACTCAGCGGCAAGGACGGGGCTACACGTCACCTGGTCTCACTTCACCTACAGCCTTCTCTCTTCAGGGGCCACAGCTCACAGAGCCATCAGAGCGATGACCGCGGGGCACAGCCAGTACCTGCACTAGGTGCCAGCATCTGCAGATGCTGCAGTGCCCAGGGGCTTTCTTCAGAGCCTGGGGAAGTTTGAAGAACTGGACAGGAAAGCCAGCAAGCAGCTAGTCGGCTGAGTTATGCTTGCACCCGCAATTCGCAAGATGAGTATGAACTTTGACTCATCTAGAGGAAAAGCTGTTTTAACTAGAAATGCTGAAGAAAATCATGTTTGCAGGTTGCTGTCTTTGACTACTCCCCAGAGCAATCAGCCTCAGTAATTATTACCCCACCCAAGACACATACACATACACACACACTCTCTCTCTCTCTCAAGGAATACAGAACCCACTGACCACTCAGGGCGAGCCAAACCAAAATGTAATCATACTCTGGTTTTTCATATACCTGGGTGAACCCCACTTTGGGGTTCTAGTCACTGTGTGAAAGGATATAGGGTGATAACTTTTTGAAGCAGCTCAGCAGAGGAAATGATAATTCGGTGCATGGTCAGTACCACTTGCAGCAGTTGATTGCTTCGACACAGGTTTCCATCTGCATCTGAAAACACAAAAAACACAAAAAGTAGCTTCTGAGTGAGGTCCTGGAGAGAAGTCAGCCCGGTGAGGGGCAGCCTGGGAACCAGACAGCTGGACACCCCTGCACCAGCCCCCCACTCATGGAGGTTGGCCAGAGTATAGCTCCTCAGTGCTTTTCTCTCACTGCCCACCCCCCACCCCCACACATATCCCTCCTTCTCTGCCTTTCTAGTCCTCCTGCTGCATGCTCCCCATCTCAAAAGGCTCACTTTGATGCTCACTAACTACCCCACCAGCAAGGTGGTAGAATCTTGGGAAAAAGATAAAATATGTACCATTCCACTCTGCTGAAAGCAGGAGCAGAAGCATTTTAAGCTGCGGGGTTTAAAATACATGTAAATGTGGGAGGGGGAGCCCTTTCTAAGGTCTGAGTGAAAATAAAGTCTCAATAGCTTACAGTAAAGATATCAACTTCTGCAAATGTCACAGAGGCCTAAAGCCCAATGAACACAGGTATAGTTTCTCCCCTGCCCTTGGAAGGGACTCATGCAAGTGGGAGGTGCTGGAACATAAACCGCTCTGGTGTTATGGACACTAGGTCTCTGCAGGAAAGGAAATGAGGAAGACTGTGGGCAAACACTGTATTTGGAGATGATGAGTTGGTTGCAAGTACCCATGATGATTTTTAATCAAAGAGCATGGTTAGAGCCGTGTTGAGTGCGACCAGAGATGGGCAGTAACACAACAGCTCCCTGTGTCACTAGATATGGGCCACAGCACAATAACTGGGGCTGGGCCTCGCATCCAGGTGCACAGCGACACATCAGCTCTCTAGAAACTGAACCGAAAGCCTATATAAGAGACCCTTTTCCCTACAGCACTCGCAGTAGCTGCGGACCCCACCCTAGGGAGCTCCTTCTCAGCTGCTGCCTGGGAGCAATAAACTCTACTTGCTCAGCCTTTCTGCCTTTCACTTTCTTCCTTGGCGGCTGGTCATAGAAATTGGGACAAAAGAAGCTGGATCGTTCCAAATTCCAGTGGTACCAGCTAACAAGACTCACTCTGGACAATGGCATTGCTTTTCAAACCTCTTCTCCCTTGAAGTGGTTTTCTCATCTTTCCAACTTTTAGACCATGAATTATTAGGGGCTGTGCGGATTATTCTGTCCTTCACCATGGGCTGTATAGCTGGGCTCACTTGCCAGCTACCTTACTGTTGGGTTCAACTCTTAGGAGGCATCCAAAGGAGAGAGGGAGGGAGAGAAGTCAGGACATTTTTATTCATCCCCTCTGCTGTGGCCTCACCTCACTTTTCTTATAGCAGCTGGGACCTCTTTCATGAAAGACACTGGATGGCCTCTCCTGCATGGCTCCAGCTCTCACTGGGCACTAACACAATTAATCTCGCTTGACATCCTGGTGCTAAGAGTGGTGATGACATCTGGCTATTGATAATCTCTGGGTGCTTCATACCATAATTCTACTCTCAGCTCTACAAGTGGTTCCTTCTTGAAGGTGTCTTCATTTAAGTAAACCGTGTGATTTCTGGCCCCTGCTGGTAGATGGAAAGGTTCGGGGAAAGGCAGCAAATGAGAGAATCCACAGGATTTTTTTTTTTTTTTTATCATTTAATAACTCTTTAAAATACAGTCTGTAAAAGGGGCTGCTATTTTCATTCTTTCTAGGTGTACAAAATGGTCAATGAAGGACGTGGTACCTCTGGGCTCATGGCTCAGAAGTGCCTCTTGCTCTCAGGTGAAGACCTACAGCCACACTTCAGTGACACATGCAGGCAGAATGCCACCATGTCTCACCCTCCATCACCAGCCAGCCCTGGCCTCTACCCCAAGGTCTTTCCAAGGCCATGCTCACACTGCTGGGTCTCTCCTTCCTTTGTCCTTCCCATTCCACTTTCTCTCCTGTATTAGTAACTTTCCTCTTTCCTCCCCCTCTCCCCCATCCCCAGTTTGTTTCCACTAGCTTTAAATATGCCCAGAATCTCCTATTTCAAAGAAAATGAAAAGGGGAGGGGAGGGATGGAGAGCAAAGAGGGCAGATGGGTGTGCTCTGGTGGTAGGTGTGGTCAGTCACATACTGATGCAGATGCAGAGGGTGCATCTGGAGCCCGATTGCTGAAGCCAGTGTTACCTCAGTAAGTAGATTAAAATAAAACAAAGTGAGATAGAACCTAAACCTACCATCCTTTCTAGCAAAACCTCACTGTCAGTGATTTATGAACACCCACTCATTCTGACTTCTAGCTCCATTATTCCACCAAATCTGTCGTTTTCAAGGTCACCAACCAGCTCCACACTGCTAAATCCAATAGTTTATTCTTCTGTTCTCATCATACCACATCACAGCTGCATTCAACTCAGCCCACCCCAAGCTGACAACTTTCTTTCCTGGAACACTTTCTTCGCTTGGCTTTCATTACACTCTCAGCGTCTCTCTTAGCTCTTCTGCTGAGTATTTAAATGTCAGAGGACTCTGTGGCTTACTGCCCCCACTTCTTTTTTTTCCTAACAACTTGAAAAATGTAAGCTTTAAATCTTAATTTAAAAAGATAGCTTCTTTTCTAGTTAAACTCGCCTGGTTCTTTGGATAAAATAACATCTATATACTGAAGGCTGTTCTGCTTATACTTTCATTGCTGAGTAGCCGATCAGTATGTCTAACACCTAACACAGTAGGTCCATCTAGGGTCTAATTTTCAAACAACTCATTCAAACAAAACTCTGAACCTCCCCTCTTTCCAGTCCATTTTTCCTCCACCTTCCTCATTTTAGGAAATGGCACTACCAACCACCTCTCAGCTAATCCTAAAACACAGGAGCCCTCCTTTGCTTCTCACTTTCCCTCACATCCAATCCATCAAGTCTGGATTTACTTTCACAATATATCTCAAACATGCCCATTTCTCCCCACCTTCCCACATATCTGTTGTAGCTGTTACTGTGATGAATAACCTCACTGCCCTCCCTGTCTTTACTCTTGTCTGTTACAATCCAGTCTCCACAGAGCAGTCGGGGCAGCTCCTAAAACCCGTAGATAGACCAGGTCATGTGCTTAAAGACTTTAATGGATTCCACGAGACTTTAATAGCACACAAATGTCTTACTGTGATCAATGGGGTGCCACAGTTCTCTTCCCTTTTAATAGTGCTCACTTCAGTTCATACCAAGTGTCTATTTACATCTCATATGCTCCCCAAGCTTACTCACACCTCAGGGCCTTTTAATGTGGCCTTTCTTCCTTTAACACATTCATGTCATTTAGCGCTCTCATTTGCAAGGCCATATCCTCAGGTAAGTTGTCTTTAAACAACCTAAAATATAGGTACTGCCCTGCCTGAGTTTCTTCATAACACTGATGACTGGAAGTTATCTTTCTTCTTTAATTTTTAACCTTCCAAATTCCCACTACTCTTGTGTTATTCACAATCATATCTCGGGGCGTGAAACAGTGATGCTACATGGTAGGTACTTATTAAACATTTACTGAATAAATGAGCAAACTGTATCTCACAGGTGACCCCTCTACTTTTCAAATATCTTTTCTTATTAGCCATTTCATGAGTGATTATATATATATATAATGTTTTGTTCCTGTTCAGAAATATAACTTGATAAATCACTTTTATGATATACTCACATGGACTGATTATAGTTTTACAAGTCTTACATTAATTGTTCTAAATTTATGTTCTGATAAGGTAGGGTTAGCATTGTTCTCTCTGTTTTCTGACCCATATACTTCATTGTAATAGTTAACTCTTGCCTTAAAAACAGGCACATTAAAAGAAACTCACTCACTTAAAACAGTACTCATTTATTTCTTACTCTAGTGTCTGAATTGGTGGGGGTTGGCTGACAGTAGGCAGGGCTTTGCTGGAGGCCCTGTTTCAGTGCTCTCAGCCCCCTGGCACCAGGGGTAGCCAAGGTGCTTTCCCTCCTGGTGATGGCAGTATAGAAGGACAACTGGAAACAGCCAAGGCCTCTGAGGCCTTGTCTTAGAGCTGGCATGTTGTCACTCTGCCTTATGGTGTAGGCCAAAGCAAGTCACTCTGTTAAATCAAAGTCAAAGTGTAAGACTCATAGAGTCAGATGGAAAAAAGATCACTGACACAAGGAAGGTGAAAAATTGGTGGAGGGCAATAATGCATTCAAATGTACTGCAATTATGAGAGGAAATTTTTCAATTCAGCTTCTGACAGCATACTTTTTACAATGAACCTTTCCTCACCGAGGTGGTAGTGGTCACATTCCTGTAGACCATGTAAAAGCAGGAAACTCCCCTTTAGGGTATACTTTAGAATAGTCATAGGAGCTACAGACACAGTTACATCCTTAATCAATCTGCACAGAATCTTAAGCTTTTATCTCAACTGTCCTTTGTGGCTGGCTGACTGGCTCTTTCCATGGGTGCTTGCATATTAGGGAGAGGGGTTCAGAAGTGTCCTGGATAAGATCGCAACCATGTCACATATGAAATTATTCAAAAAACTAAATAGGTTTAACATAGCAAAAACCCAGAAGAGATATACAAGAATCGCCTTCAAATATTTGATGTGTTGTTTCTGGGAAAAGGTTTAGAGTTCTCCTATGGGGCCTTGGAAGGAAGAACCAGAGAACAGAAGTTGTAGGAAAGAGCACGAGGTACACATGTGATAGAGAAAATTCTAACCTCAAAGACAAGCCAACAATAGAAGCATTCCCATCATGAGGTACCTCCAAGAGGGGGCTTCAGAGGGACACTTAATAAGCATTATTATAATCAGCATAATAGCCATTATTTATTAAATTCCTGCTTAATACCAGGGGCTTGCAAAAAACACTTAAATGATGCAGTGATGGTATTTGTTCATAATTTACAGCTGAGGAAATAAAAAGGTAGATTAATTTATTTTAGGTCAAAGACACAATGGGCGGAAGAGCTAGGTATGTCTGACTCCAGAACGCCTGTTCTTTCTACTGTCCTCGGCTACGTGTTATATGACTGTTTTTCAGGTTAGAATATTCG